AAAGCGATACTGACTGAGCCCAGAGCCTCATAACAGTTGCCTTCTCTCGCTCGCCAATGCTTTGCAGTCAATTGGTTCGCCTACCACATAATCGCCTCTGATGAATTCCCCAGTCACCTGCCCCAAGAGGTAAGAGCAAGTCACTCCTCCCCTGTGCCGTCCTTTCCTTGCTAATGCCCAGGCGGGCGCCCCAATGGCTCAGCGAGACGCAGATGAGCGGCACTGCCCGCCTACTCATTTCCATAACCTATTTAGCAATTGACCAAGCTGACCTATTGCAGGCTACTGAAATGACATTGGGAAATTCCTAAAATTGTCAATGGTGGAGGCTTTGTCATTGTGGAATATTGAAATGCGAGTGCAACCCCCTTTCCCAACTAATTGACGATGGAATCGTTCCTCTACTACGTTGGGCTCACACTCGTTCCTTCAGCCATCCGCAGAGAGCAGGTGACTTGTATTGTAATCGAGGCTGAGCGCCTCCACCACCAGTGACTCCAAGACTTGTCCTTTTCATCTGAGTCCTCCGTGGAGAATGGCCAACGGATGCCTTTTCTCGAACTCTGTGCCACCAATCCACAAGAAGCCACCGAAAATTGAGTCTTGAACGATGGGAAGGCGGCCCCAACCAAGCGAGTCCTGCCCTGTACGACCTGGACCATCCACCCCCACGATCCACCCAAATGATGACAAGAACACCACACTGCTCTTTCACGCTTACATTGCCTACCTCATCAAGGGTAGGTACATTGACCTAACACGATACAGGCCGCAAGGCGACCAATGAAGGCGGAAAGAACCCTCCCATGCCACAAAGGTATCCTACAAACTCTTATTCTGGTGCCTGAAATGCCTCTTGCCCCGCCTCTCTTCAGAGATGCTGTGCCTCCCCGGGCTCTTGCTCAACAAAGGGCCTGAAGAGTCATTCCTCACCGCAATGCCTGTCTGGTACTTCCCTATTACCTATCTGTGCTCCCAGTGTCAGACTTCAGCCTCGTTCTTGGCTGTTTCCCTTCGCCCTCTTTCGCGCAAGTGAGCAGCTGCGGTGAAGGGAAGCGAGCGGTGCGGCAGAAGGGCGCGCATGCGCGGTTCAAGGTTCCTTCCTCTTGTTCTTGTAATGTGTTTCTCTCTCTCTGGCATGCCCGCATCTCACTCGCGAATGCCTCCCGTCAGCTCCTCATAGGGTAGCCTTACGGGTTTCTTAGCTCTGTTTCCTCATGCCTCTTCTGTGCCTCCTGCATGCCATGTCCGGGGCTTTTTGCTTCCCATCGTTCGCCCCCCTGTTGTTATAAAAGAAGGGAGCAGCCGCTTCCGCATCCTGGGAAGGTAAAGATTGCAAGTCTCACGATATTCACTCAACGTTTGAAGAAAACCAGGCTCAACCAAGCACTCGGCAACTAATCCGGGAAACCCCCTTGACTTCTATTTCTCTCTTCTACTCTGATTCGACGTCCATCCCTTCGTTCACCGTCTCATCGCCGTCCGTTCTTTGGTTTTCATCGCATTTCGTTACCTATACCTAGACCCTACGAGACAACACCATCCTCCTCCGTCTTCTTGCTGACAGGTCACTGTGCATCATGGCCGCCCCAGCCGCTAACGTGAGCTACTCTCCAAAGAGACTGATCGTGTGCTGCGACGGCACCTGGATGAATTCGTATGTACTCGAGTCTGCCTGGCCTAGATATACCAATCTAGTTTGCTAATTGGGCCCCACAGGGAGAGTGCATACGTTAAGCCCACGCTCCTTAAGCCCAAGGGGTCGTTGCAGATCCCCTCAAATGTGACTCGCATCTCGAGGTGTTTTCGCCGAAGGTGCAGCGATGGCCGCATGCAGGTCATCGAGTACGAGTCTGGCGTGGGCACGGGCAGCAACACACTAGACACCCTTACTGGTGGTGCTTTCGGCCTCGGTCTTGGAGAGGCAAGTGTCAACTATCACGTCTGATTGGATGTTTAGACAAGTACTAACATACATGACAGCGAGTTCGCAACATCTACAGCTTCCTTTGCGCCAACTACTGCGACGGCGACGAGATCATCCTCGTCGGTTTCTCTCGTGGCGCTTACATTGTCCGGTCCGTTGCCGGCATGATTTCCGATCTCGGACTCTTGACCCGCGAAGGTGTCGAGCACTTTTGGCCCATCTTCAAGGATATGGAGAACTGGAACAACCACCGCTACCGTGACGAGTTCCCAACGATGCCCTTTGACAACAAGCCCAAAGGTGATGGGGCAGCGGAGGCATACAGGGCCAAGCTGGAAAAGGTAAGTCGGACGTCCATATGATGATGGATAATACAGAACGCTGACCTGGATAGCTCGGTATGACCCGTGTTAGACAAAGTGAGGGCCAAGGGGATATCATCAAGGTCAAAGCAGTTGGTAAGGAGCCCTGATTCCGGTGAATGTCTACGACTAACAGCAAAAACAGCCGTCTGGGACACTGTTGGTAGCCTTGGCATCCCTCAAATCGCCTGGTTGAACAAGCTCGGTATCTACGCGTCCAACCGCGAGTTCAGATTCTGGGACACGAGCCTGTCTGATAGAGTCGAACACGCATTCCAGGCTCTGGCTCTCGACGAGACACGCTACTCCTTCCAGCCGGCTGTCTGGGAACGTCTTAAGGCTAACAGGCATACGACTGATCTTCGACAAGTCTGGTTCCCGGGAAACCACTCAAACTGCGGTGGCGGCTGGAACGACCAGGGAATTTCTAACATCACTCTTGCCTGTAAGTCTACATCCTGGACATGATGCCTCTGATCATCGACTAACATCGTAATCCAGGGATGATGGATCAGTTGGCATCCATTGGCGTCGAGTTTAACCACCTCGCACTCGAACGCTGCGTGCAGCAGTCCAAGTCGTTCTACCAAGCCCAAATCAAGGCCAAAAGCATCCAGTGGGCAATGGAGCCCGTCTACGGACAGAATCATCCCCTTCGGCCTTGGGGCCTCGGCTCTATTCAGAAGACATCGAACCTTCTCTACACCTTGGCCGGAAAGATCATTCGCTCGCCTGGTCTGTACAAACAAGTCAATGCTCACACGGATGCTCGAACCGCTACTTTCCTCACGGACACAAACGAGCGTATCCATTCATCGGTCCGTATCCGTCTGGCTTGCAAGGGTCTGGGTTTGAACGATCTTGGAGAGTGGGACAACCCGGCGATGAAGAAAAACTGGCGGCTTGTCTACTCGAACGCGGCTTACGAGGACCCGGTCCCGCACCATCCAGCCTGGGAGCCTGAGTCGGATCAGCAAGAGTGTATGAAGCATCCTGCCGACGCCGACTCCGATGGTCGTTGGGTCTGGGAGTACTGTGGACCAAAGGAGAATGCTCCGACCAGTCCCAACGGGAGGACCATGGTTGAGGAACCCTTGGGGCCATACGAGCGTCACCTGTTGAAGTTGACTGGCGGTGACCCCAATATTTACCAGTATGTGCAGTCGAAGGAGGGCACCAAGCGCGCTCTCGAAGTAGAGAGCAGCTAGTGCTAGGTGCTTGAGTACGATACGGCGCTGAGATACCCCTTTACCTGGTAGCATAGCTTTGGCGTTTGGTTGTTTTCGAAATATTGAAATAGATTGATAGACTGACATTGTATTTTACGTCTTTGCTTGCTAGCTCACTCGAGCCTTCGCGAGATTTGTTCAGCCTCTAGGATTAAGACCAAGCCCCCCAACACTTTTATATCTGCATTTTCGGCACTGTGGTCGGACGGAAACTTCTTAGGCCCTTATCAGATACAACTGTCAGCTTCCGACACCTGCTTCCGATCGTGAAGTCTTGGAGCTAGGGTGTCATGCGATGCTGACCAAGCCGCAGAAGGGGATCCCCACCCCTTTGCAGCTACCAGGCGGCCGACGATCCGAAAACAAGCACGATGCGAGGTGCGAGAGTGGTCCATCCATGGCAGACATGTTTCCTAAAGGGGTGATTTTACAACTATGGTTGAGAAAATAATGTCGAGAAGTATGTTAACGCACCAACTATTGCCACTCTTATACTACTTTGTCAGCTAGTCTCTCCAATCGTCTCTGGGCCAAGTCCTTGCCTACTTCTGCCGATCGAAGTTTCCATTTAAGACATTTACTTTGCCGAGCTACGTGATGCTCAAAACCTTGTACGTGTAGGAATAGTACGTAGTCTATTTGGGGCCGTTTATTGGAATAAGCTTATTGCCCAGCGTAAGGTCAAAATTTGGATGGCTCCAGTCCGTCATGTAATGACAGTCTTAGATCGAATCCTGCTACTAACTTCCCTCCGTTTCGTCGAAAAGCGAATAATCGGCAGCATGCATTTTGATCAGAGAGCTGGACCTGGTCGGCACGACCGTGGATCACGGCAGCTGGTCGATTGGGTACGGAGGCAGGGAAAGCAAGAAACTGGCCTTTCAGGCCCACTAGGCAAAGTGGTATGATAGATCTTGTAAGGAGAGAAGACGCTAGAGATGAGTAGACTAACATGGTGACATTATCTCACGAGGTGGAGTCGGGCCAGGGCTGAGTCCCACTAGCTTGGTAAGTCTACCGCGCGCGTCGGCTTTTTGATTTCCCACGTTTATGGTGTAAACGCTGCTTATGACGACCATACTCACCATGTTTTGAAGGTTTCGCGATTCGCGTCTTGCCAGAACATGCGGGTTTTGCGTCCTCTGGGGGGCAGGCTTGGCTAGTAGATCTCAATTATTCAGCAGGAGAGCGGCACGAAGAAGAGATGCGATGTGAAGATCAACTGTTGACCAAGTCGTGGTTTTATTGTACCGTGACGGCAACAAGTCACCGGGCAATGGAGCTGATGCTCGACTTTGGTATATAGGGGATGTGGTATCCCTCGTAGGATGACTTCCGACTAGAGCATCGTTGTCCCCACCGTCCTCAGCTTTCATCCAGGACTCGGCTTCTACATGCTTCACCCTTCATATCTGACCTACACCAAACTCCCATACCATGATGATCGGCTTTACTCTGCTGGCCGCCACCAGCCTCGCCACCATGGCCGCATCATACGACACAACCTTCGGCTTCAACGGCGCCCCTATAATCGAAAACCGAACCCTCGACGAGATCCACCAAGCCGCCCTCGACGAGGGCGGCATCGTCACAGTCTGGCACGGGGGGGACGAGACCAACCAACAAGATGGCCTCAAAAGGGCCTTTGAGGACCGGTTCCCCGGCATGACCCTCAACATCACCGTCGACGTCTCCAAATTCCACGACGGCAACATCGACCGCCAGCTCGCCCTCGGCGCGGGCGCGCTGTACGTCGACACGGCGATCCTGCAGACCCTGCACGATTACCCCCGCTGGGACCTCGAGGGCGCGCTGTTACACTACCAGCCTGTCCATTTCGAAAAGGTTCATCCTGCGTTCCGGGATGTTCGCGGGGCGTGGCACGGGGTTTCGATTTTTGCGTGGACGTTTATTTGGAATACGGACCGGGAGGAGGATGGGCCTAGGGAGTTTGCGGATTTCCTGGAGCCCAGGTTTAAGGATAAGCTTGTTCTTACGTACCCCAACGACGACGATGCGGTGCTGTACGCGTTTGACCTGATGTGAGTAGACCACACTTCTGGATAGTTTCCCAACCCAGAAGCCTTCTGTCCACGTGAAGTATCACTAACACCTAGCTCACTTGAAAGCATGCAACAATTCGGCTACGAATGGTTCGAAAAGCTCCTCGCGCAGAACCCCCGCTGGGTCCGCGGCACTGGCATGCCCGTTACCCTCCTCACCTCGCCGAACACCACACTCTCCGCCACCTTCACCGCGGACATCGGCCTCGTCCCCACGGCGCCGCTGAATCTCTCGATCCCAACCCAAGAGGGCAGCTTTGTGACGTGGGCGCAGAGGGCGGCCATCTTTAAGGATGCGCCGCACCCGGAGGGCGCCAAGCTGCTTCACAACTTTATGCTGAGCGACGAGTACCAGTTGACGACGGGGTCGTGGAGCGTGCGGAAGGATGTCGCGCCGCCGGCTGGGTATCCTGGGCTTATGGATATCAAGTCGACTAATCCGGTTGATTTTGAGAGGTTTATGGGGAACCGGGTGCGTGTGGAGCAGTTGAAGTTGTTTTTTGAGGATAAACTTGGGACTGCGCAGGGGTTGAGTCCTCTGATTGATGAATTGTGAGGTTCACATTGGGGACGTCCTCAATGTGAGCTGTGAAATATAGACAGGGTACTAGACGGCGTTGAGGAAATGCGGCGGATGGAGTGGGAGTGAGTTATCGTTGAGGCAATGGTATCGATATGATGTTGTTGTTGACTTTGTGGGCATTGGCGAGGCTTAAAAATTCATCAATAATCCAGAAGGGACAAATTGACCTTGATCAATGTAGAAGAATTGGCAGACAACGTATATACTTTGAAGGGTTTGCATCTCCTCACAATATAGGCCCCTACGATGTGATTTTGTGACTCTGACCCTTTCGTTGCGAGTCCAACACAACCTCTTCTTGTTTGTTCTCTCGTCTCTCCTCTCATCGCTGGCTAGACTGGCCATTCATAGAAACAAGTAAGACCACCCTCCTCCTCGCGGAGTTCCGCTACCGAACCCGCAGGGACACCCCGGCCCGTACATGCTGCAGCCCGAAATAAGCGGGACGGGTCCTCCCGCATGGTTCATCCCGTCGAGTCTAGCCACATCAAAGGATCAGATGCTGAATCAGCGCCCAATTGTGAGAATCTCCACGGTATCTCGTTCCTAGAGACAGGTTTGGAAGGTGGACTTGGCTAATAGATTGTACCAAGACATTCCTTACTAAGAAGCCAGTCGGAATTCCATCATTCTAGGCATCAGCTTTTGTTTCAATGTCTTGTTACTCCATAGAATGAATGGAGATGATGTTTTGACAATGGCAGCTACACCGAAACTCGAGAGTAAATTAGTACATAAGTCCGACGTTTGGGCCGGTTTAGTATCATCCAACAAGCTCTTAGCCATTCATCTCTTCAAGCTCAAACATACTTCCTACATCTTACCATCGGCTCTTCCACCTCTCACAATATAAACGATTACCAAAAACACCTACTCCTCCACCATCCAAGATGTACGTCCCATCCACCCTCGCGCTCCTCGTAGCAGCAGCCCTCCAGCTCGCCACTCCAGTCTCGGCAAACTACGAGGCCGGCAAAGCCGTACAGATCAACTTCTACTCCAACTCGGGCTGCTCGGCCTACACAAGCGAGACGGCGGCGTGGTGGACCCGCTCCCCGCACGCGGGCGAGTACGTCAACGGCGGGAGCGCCGGCGACTGCTTCTCGCTCGGCATGCCGGGCGCCAGCGGAAGCCTCAACGTGGCCAACGTGTGGCGGGGCAACGGGGCCAAGACGGGCGGCAGCTGCGACTTGTATGATGGATACAACTGCGGCGGCGTCAAGGGCGGCATTGGGTTCGATAAGAATTCGGGGTCGGGGGGTTGTGTTGCTTCGAGGAGCTCGAGTGGGTTGTTGTGGAAGAGTGCCCGGTGCGGTGCGGCGCCCTAAGTGGGGGGGGGGATGAGGAGGGTATCTGAAGGGCGCTGCGTTTAGGTTGGGGCTTCATCAGATGTTGGGTTTGAGTCATTCACTTCGTCGCTGGTGATGATGTTTCGTGGGGTTTTCGCAAGTTTATGATGACGAATCCACGATTTTGCGGCGTACCAGATCACGGATAGTTCATGGCAAGTGCAGTCTTTCGAGGACGTGGATATCAGAACCATGAAAGCCGAGTACCTTTTGAAGCCATGCCTGCCCCTAGGAAACCAAGTTCCAGACTTCCAGCAATGCACAATTTAGACCTGTTGAGAAGACTATTGCCCATGAGAGACCCGTCCCCTCATCGCTTCGCCGGAACGATGCCTTCCCTTCCATCAACGTCCGTCCACTCCTGAAGCGCATCAAACAGTTTCCCCCATTTCCCACCAGACCACTCATTCCTCAACGCCTCCCACTCAGGCAAACATCCCCTCATGAACTGCAGCCAGCCGCCAACAATAAAGTCCGCATACATCGGGCTCTCCCGTCCGTCAACAAAGGGACCTGCTCCCCCAGCGGGGAAACAGTGGCCAAGCTTTGCCTCCAGATTCGTCTCGAAATCCTCTAGCATCTTCTTCCTGACGTCTGAACCGGGTGGAATCTCAAGGTCCTCCCACTTCTTCCCCGGGAACCGGTCCAGGAACGACTTCCTGTCGGCCTCGGCGGTGCGCGGGTCGAGGGGCATGTAGAAGCCCCCGAGCGGAGCGCCGTACTGGCTGAAGACCTGGTCTACAGAGGCATTGAAGACGCGGTGCAAGGCTACCGTGCCGCCGTCCGCTCCATCCTGAAAGAGTTGGTCCTTTTTGCCGGAGAGGTAGGTGTTTTGCAGGTGCAGCGCGATGTCGAACGAGTCGCCCACGACGACCTCCTTGTCTCCTGAGGGAGAGGCGAGCGGGTCGCGGATGATGGGCAGGGTGGGGAAGTCGGTGCCATCATCGTGTTTGCGATTAGCGGAGAGCTGGAGTGAGTTGCGCGTCTCGGCGACGGCGTTGAGGGGAACCCAGGTTGTGTGGTAGGGGACTTTGGCGAAGTTGAGTGCGAATCTGCCGGTTGTTAGTTTTGGTTCCTCAGGAACTTTTCTCGTCTTCTTCCTAGACGGAGGTATGAGGGATCATCACGTACCGCGTCTTCCACGGATTCGGCGCCATGGGGTAGACCTTGGGGTCGAGGACGATGTCGTAGAACGTGATGGCGGGTTTGTTAGAGGCGTCCATGGTGGGCGGAACTGGAGTAGAATGCTGATTGTCGGACTGTATTGATGTAGCGTCCATGTGATTCTCGGTGCAGGATACTGAGCAATTGGGACAGTCAGATGTCGAAAGGAACGAGGAACCAATGGCTATTTCTACTTTTCACGATGAGATCAGATACACAATACGAACGTTGGAATGCTCTTCCACGGGTGATCTGCACCTCAAATGACATAGCGGCGATGATTCATATGCTATACAGGTCCAAGCGGCCGTGCCCCGATAGGCTGCCCCCGCTCGCAGCTGTAAGACAAAACAAAGCCACGGCCCGCAGAGTGGGGCGGTCTACCGGAGATCGGTTGAGCGAGCTAATGCCGTAAGACGGAGCCGAATCATGGAGTCTGCCGGTGATTTTCCCCTGAAGCAAGTCAGATCCCACATCCTTCCCGGAGCTGAGGTGATTACTGATCTGGGAAATGCATGCTACAACTACCGGCTTTTGCTCAAATTGGCAATTAAGCAGTCTGATACTTTTGCTGCCTTGCCGACGACTCAGAAGCACCGTGCACGATGGCTGGTGTGTCCGTATTCTTCAAAGAGTGAAATGGCCCAGTCCACGTCGGGTTAGCGATGACATGTAATGTTCGGTGAAGGGCTCGGTGAAGGACATTAGGCTCGCACAAAAATGCACGATACTTTTGGGTGATTAAGGCAGATGTAATGCCAATCGTATGTACCTATTGCCCTTGGATTCATCTACGTGAGCTGAGCGCGGAGTCAACTTCTTCCAGAATCATGGCAGTGGGATACCGAGGGACACGAGCGGCCTGTGTTGCCTCTCTAGACGTTGGCATGGGAAATGAAGATTGACCCTCCCCACGGGAGCATCATTCGCCTTCAAGCCATCATTATCAACAATTCCCAGACTTGCACCTGCCCCGACAAGCAATTTGAAAGCCTCCTCCCGGCCGTTCTGGCTTGCGACGTGCAGAGCCGTCCAACCATGGAACCCCCTCCGATCCAGCCGCGCATCGCCCCGTATCAACTCCGTGATAGCTTCGAGATGGCCGTACCTCGCCGCAATCATAAGTGGCGTCCATCCGAGACGGCTTTCAACGTCCCGGTTCGCGGATTCCGCCAACAGGATGCGGATGCATATCCTCCCGCAGCCACGGTGGGCCGCAATGTGCAGTGCCGTTTCGGCCTGAGTGTCGAACTTGTCGAGAGGTACGCCGAGCTGTAAGAGAGACTCGAGCATCTCATGTAAGCAGCAAAATGTCAGCCGGTGAAGGTAGGACGGTGGTTCAATCGCCTTCTTTGAAGACTTTCGGAGCCCTGACGCGATGAGCTCGAGGATGTGCGGGAGACCGAACGCTGCGTACGTGCGGCTTACAAGGCGCAGCTCGCAGAGGTCGTGCTTTCTTAGATGCCAGGTCGTGTTGGTTAGTTTGGTTTCATGGATCACTAATCTTGGAGGGTTGGTCTTGACTTTTAGTATATCGTGAAGAGTCTCTGGCGGAAGGCGTTGAGTGAGAACACGCCCATCTCCGACGACTATCGTGAAACCTTTTCGTTTCCGCTTTGTTGATAGCTGCGCTCGTTACATGACGGGGATTCGGTGCGTATCAGTATCTATGCTCGGTGCTATATGCTAATCTTTACCATGATTGATAACCATTAAACTTTACACTATGAAAAGACAAACATGCAACGCTAGATTCTGAGGATATGTAGTTTGACCCATCAACTCAAGTCTGGCCTGACTGGCTTTCGGCAATCTGACGAATGGAATTAGACCGGTTTCCAGGCTGGTATTAGGACAAACATACCACCAAATATACGCTTCGTCAGGCTTGATTCAGAGACGTTCAATCATGTCGGAGGCCCATGAAGCGCTTGAAATCAATCTTGAAGCGAGTTTTCTTCTTTCGCACAGGTGACGTGATTAGAGCTTACCACGCAAGTGATTCGGGGAGCTAGCCTCCGTCCTTCGGGGGCTGCGACGATAACTCGCGGCCGGCCGGCCCCACTAACCCGGCACCTACCCACTGCCTTGGGTAGCATTCAGAACACTGACTGGCAGCCGCAGGTGTGCGAGGAAAATCAATTGGCCAATCAGACCAGTGGAATGGGACGGAGCTCCAGCTTCATTCTTCAAGGTCAGCGCTTCGCTTGGAAAACGAAATCGAGTGCACAAAACTTATTTGATAACCTAGGCTCTTGACCAGTCGACCTGAGCACTTTTAAGGTCTTGTTTGGCGTGCTTCAATTGTTCTGCACCTCATGTGGCACAGTGCGGAACAAGGTGCAGCCACATCCAGCTTCTCAGACTTGCATTCATGATCATCCTCGACAGCTTCAACCATCACATACGACCATACCCATTGGAAAACTCGGGATCCCGTCCGCTCTCCCATAGATAAGCCAATGAGGGCAGGATTAGTAGTTGGGTCGGTGACGACCAGCGAATACCTGGTGTTGTATGTTTTTGAAGTTTTGGTGGGCTCAAGTGGATTCAAGATGCCTTCCTTTCGGTTGCGAGCGAGCGAACTCACTGACGGGTGGGGCAGAGTTGGGCTTGCGAGCCGCAAGCACGGATTTGGTACGGAGACTTGATCATGGCCGAAACCGCAGAAACCTTAAGTGCCCGCGGGCGGCCCGCAGCATTGCCCCATTCATTCATCAGACACAGGTATGATATGAACTCTATCTTTGCACAGATATTCGAGCGGTATCTTGACCCGTTACGATGTCGTTCAAGGCGGTATAGAACGATACAAGGTCTGAATATCAGTGTGAGGAGCTTAATCCTAACTTCAATATTAGTAGGAGAGGAGACATGCATGAGGATATCAACACTACACACATCTCAACGCCCTCACGCAGGAGAAGCCATCCTATATGGCAACCATACTCTGGGACTGCGAGTGGAATACCGTGAGAGTCATACATTGCTTGTGGGGTTTTGCGAGACGGAGCGGTCTGTCGTATCCAGGGCCAGCATTAAGCACTTGAGTCTGGTGATGCTCAACGACGCACAATGACTCGCCTGTCCCGCGTGGGATGACCCGTTCGTCTAATTCACACAATGACTCGCCGGGACGGAGAACAATGCCGGTACGTAAATCAGAAATCAATGGGGATTATGATCAACAGCGTAAAGCCAGCATGAGGCCAGCACTCATGACCGGCCAATCTATTAGACTCAACAACAGAAACTGGGGATCGGAGGTACGCGGACGACAACACACTATTCGCGTATCCTTGAGCGAGCTTCTTCTTCAGACTCCAAGTATAAGTAATAGAGCTTGAGCACCAGAGATGTAATAGTAGCCATCTACTAACCACATTGAGTCGGACTTTCAATAATATCACAGTTCACTCTTTTTTAATCCCTAAATTAGCCATCATGAGATTCACCCAGGCCTTCGTTGTTGCTTCCATGTCCCTTGGTGTCATGGCAGGCTGCCGGTTCGCCCCCGAGGTCTGCAAGTCGGATGTCGGTCCTATCTCGCGAGGCCTCACCAATGGTTGGGTCTGCGATCTTCCGGAAGACTTGCCCTGCCAGACGACATGCGAGATCACTGGTGAGAGGCAGCGATCTGAGCCCGGAACTGTTGGTATGGAGACGATGAAGTGCTGCAAGCCCCAGCCCGGCTGTAAGTCTATCTGGATTCTCGCCAAGGAACGACAGAGTCGACACTGACATACTTAAATCAGGTTAAACGCGTTATTTACCATTGACTACATGTTGGTCAGTACGTAAGGCACAGATATTGCAGAGGCTTTCAGAACAAAGCTGGGTATCTCGAACACGCTCAAGACCTCGAAATTCGAGGTAGCGAATCGGTCCTATGTCTCGCACGACCTTAGCACTATAAAGGAGGGTAGAGAAGTTGTTGGGGCGTTGGTGAGAGAGCTTACCCGTGATAAGTACACCTTATCTTCGGTCAGTGTCGGGGCTGAGGGGACACTGCACCATGAAGTACGGTACGCTGTAGACCGCTGTAGACCGAAACTCTACAGCAATAGTCGGCTTTGAAAAAGCTGAAATAAGTAGACGATTACTATGTTGAAGCCTTCTCTTTCTCTTCCCTCATACAGCAGAACGTAGCTCGTGCAGCAACTAGGCAAACGAATCAATTTATTGCCGATAGACAACCCACGTCTGCCGTTACGCGTAAAATTTCCTTAGTTTTATCGTGAACACTTCTGACCTTCTACGAGCCTTTTGGACTCAGTTCCAGTCCTCCAAGAGCCGACTTCAGTTATTTACTCCTCGGAACCTTAAGTATAGGATCAGAAACGCCTGCCGTGGTACTTCGTGAAACCATCTCGACTATGAGTCTCGACAAAGACGTTCTCATATAGAGCGTGCATTGGATTAGAGATGGCCTGACCTGGTACCTCTACATCCTAGATGGACTCAGACATTTTTATGCTAAGAGCACCGTTCCAAAATTGAAATACATCTTCTTTGTATCAACTCATCTGAAGTTCGAAGCGCCGTAAGATTAGGTATGGGCTTTCATCTGATTGAAGCAACTGTTAGGTCGAAAGTTCAGGAACGGCCGTAGTAAAGTTGAACTAGCCAATCGCACCACGGCGACCCAAACTGAGGGGGCTTGGAACCAGACATCCTTGTTCATGACATGTACTCCTGCAGGTACCCATTCTCCGATGGAATGGCGCCAAACCTGAACTTGGCCGCAGGCACCTCCCTGACACATCTCCGCGATTACGGACTTCTCAAGAAGTTGGCCATGTGTTTTTGTTACTTTTGACAAGCGCAGTTCCGTAGCTCATTGACGAGCGATTGGATGTTTAACGTACTGAAATCTTGCACAGCCAGAGAACATCCATCGCAAAGCCTGGTGAGAAGACAGCGACTCGCGGTCTGCTGGCATACGAGATGCAAAATCACTTCACGGGCAGGAAGTCGACTTCAAATGACTTTGAGCTGAAGATTTTGGGTTACTAGGCGAAGCCGGCTACGTTTGTTCATTGATCGTAGGAAGGGGTCAGTAGGCCCAGAGGGCTGGCCCTCTGTATGCAATGTTGCAAGCGGGGTTGTTTTTGCTTCCAGTCTAATCAACTGAAGGTGAAGAAAGATGCCGTTGTGTGGTGGTGACATACACCGCCACCAGAATATGAGCCAGAAAACATGTACATGATTTGACCACACCAGTGTACCAAAAGCTGCCAGAGTGCGAGTGAACGTGCGTCATACACGTGAACTTCCCCATAATCGAGGACATCTGGAGAAATGGCGCCCCGCGCTAGACAGTTTACAGATAGACAAAGAGAGAAACGATGACATGTTCCAATGAGAGCGGCTGCTGAACGCCTCAAACGTCCACAGCCTACTTTGGCACGATTCAACCAGTTGAGGTACCTTACCCGCAGGAAATGGGTGGGAAAGGTACGAGCAACCACATCCCGATGTGCCATGCAGGCCAATCAGGAGATTTGTCCACGATTTTGGACAAGTTCAAACCCCCCTGCTTCTCCTAACTTGCCTTCAGGTACAAAAAGCCAGCGGTCCGCCTACAATCTTTCCAATATTGCGGTCGGCTTGTTTCATGGTACTTATTACTTTAGTTAGTGAGTTTCCCTATATCATCTCATTCTCGACCGATCAAGGAGTTGTTTTCCAGGGTACCACATGGCTTCGGCCCATCATTGTGGTGGTGGTGGTGGTGGTGGTGACAATGGCGCGGCTATACCAACGACAGCGGGACCCCCCATGCAACTAACCTGCCCCAACAAGGAAGTTGAGGCTTCAGCCACCGAATCTCCCACAACTGAAACCCACGCAACGGGAGAGTTATCGCACCAAGGCCCAAGGCATGGGAGGCTGAATGCATACGTGAACGACTACAGTCGCTTGGATGATTTTAACTCCAATGGAGGAAGTCCACATGAGTCAAGAGAATCGTATGACGCACGCATGAGGGAGACCGTTGCAAATCTTGACAATGATTTCACAAAGACCTCCTCAGATCGGGCGAATTGGCTCAGAAGATTCACAAAGACCTCCTCTTATCCGGCAAATTGGCTCAGAAGATCCACAAAGACCTCAGATCCGACAAATCGGCTCAATAGATTCGAAAAGACCTCCTCAGATCGGGCGAATTTGCCTAGAAGATTTCCCAAACTAGGCTCAGTGTACAGCCGGAGTTTCACCCCCAAAGCGTCAGTAGCCTATCACTTGTTTTCGCACAACAGTGGGATGTTGACTTACTCTGTCGTTCAGTCCAGGGACAACGGCCCATGAGCAAGCGCGAGCGAAAACGACTTCGGAAAGATCTGAACGACGGGAAGAATCCGTATCTTCTGCTGGAGATTCGACTGTTCTAACAGAGTCCATCTTCGACAACCAAGTCTGCATCTCAGACACGATTGCCAGTCAGTTGTCTGAAGACCCTCCTCTAGGTCCGCTCCAAGGAGGACTGCAAGAGCCCTGCAATACAGATGGCGACTGCAGTGATGATTTCTCCGAAGACGACTTTGAGCACGACGAAGGACGGAGCGTGGCAGATGAATATAATTCACTGGGGAGCTCTATTCGAAGAGTGCTAGCTGCCAGCCCAGAACATGCTGACGCCATAGTCGACGTCCTTCAACGTCGGCTTCGAAATTTCATACCGTGTAGCCATGATTCTTTGAAAGTATTGACACTGCTCAAGGGTATCTTCTGCACCCTGGGACCTTATGAGAAATATGAAGCGGTCGATGGAGAAAGTTTTTCGACTGGCAATCATGGGGCAGGAACGCAAAGTTCAGCAACACCTGCCGGTGCATCCATTCCGACCCATCTATCGCCACCTTTGAGATCCAAGAGAGATTGGGATGAAGACGAGGATGAGGATAAGAAGCAAAAGTTACCGCCTGCCAAAAGGGCTCGAGATGACGAGCCGGGTAAGGGTAAACACTGGCTCTGTCCCTACAGCGTGAGGTATCGGACCTTGGTGGCTGGGGCTTGCCGAAATCCGACCAAATTCAGAACGCTCAGTGATTTCAAGTAAGTTGATTCATTGTGGTCCAAATAACAAGAGGCATTCTAACTCGATCAGGTCTCATCTGCACGATAAGCATTTCTCGAAACTTCGAGAGGAAGACCGTACCGGAAGTCCTAAACTGTACATGACGGATCAGGATTGGGGTCTCATCGAAAAAGTATGCACGAAAGCCAACAAGACGAAGCCCAGGAAAGGCACTGAAGCTTCTTTTCAGAAGCATTTGGGCACTTTTCGGGAAATTTGGCGCATTTTGTTTCCGGACAATGGCCCTGTGCCCAAATCCCCTTGTAGGTAGGTCCCTGCGCAAGCGCCCCGAGGCTGTATCCGGTAGACTAACACCGTTCAAGTCTGCGAGGACTATGAGGATTTCATTCCAGAAGAAGTTGGAGCCTGCGAGGACCACAAAGACTTCAATACAAAAGAAGTTGGATTGCTCTCCAATTCCATTTCTGACTTTGAGGCCCAACAGGCTGTCAAACGCGGCGAAATCTCCAGCCCGACTGAGTTTGCAACTCGCGGCAGTTTTGACGAGATGATGAACAAAATCTTTGCACTCGTTGCAGACTACAAGCCGGAAGTGAAGGACCAATTTTACAGCCTATTCTTCTCGATCACTACAGGCATGATCGGTGGCCAACATACCGGGTTTCAAGACGTATCTGTCGGAAAGGAGCCCGGCCTGTCACGGGCCGCTGCAGATGCACGGGAGCCGGGATCTTCACACCTATCGCAGCTGACAGTCAACTTGTCCGTCTCTGGCGGAGGAAACTCGTCGCAGCCAGGCCTTTCCTCTGCAGTCTCCCATGAGACATTGGTTCAGCCAGACTCAGCAACCGCTGATTCCAACGGCGGAAAGAAGTTCTGTGACCAGGAACCTCAAGAGACGGACCCGTTGCACATTCAGCAGGAGACATCGCCACCCTTCGGCAACTACTACCCGCAAGGAGCTCACACAGGGGCCCTATCGTCATATGACTGTAGCTGTAACTATGGAGGGCAGCGGGAAGATTCCGCGAGTACTTTGTTCGATTGGGGCTTGTATTCTTTGGCTCAGGAGAACGAAACTATCGAAGAATCATGACAGCAGCCTTTCAGAATGGCCGATGCATTCAAGTAGAAGCACGACTTGATGGGATGAAATACACGTGCATATGATTTTGTGATGGAGGTTACTGGTTCTTGGTGTTTTGGGTATGGCAAAATGTAGATGATCCTCTTGGCAATAGAAAGCACAAAAATGTTTCTGAAAAAGATTGATAATGGCAACAACGAGATCCAAGGTTGATTCCACTTCTCTTAAAGCAGATAGCTGGCAGTGTGGACAATGGGTAATGGAATAGGGGGGCATTTTGTCACCTGTTTGGTTGACAAGAAAAGCGGCATCGCGGGGTCCAACATGGCTGTGTACGAGCCCTAGGCACTCCGCAAGTAAGGTAGATTAGCTTAAGGTGAGGTAGGTGCGCCAAGTGCACGGGCTCGGTCCCACCTGCTTCCGTCCACCAGCCACACACGACATGGTTCTCCAACGCTCTCATCACCAATTCTTCTGTCTCGAGTATCTCGAGTGACACCTGCTACGCGCCAGCCACATCTCGTGTTGCTGCTACCAAGATTCCCCACGTTCTTCTCGCCTGGCAACGCTAGAAAACTTGGAGCGTAGGGCAGGCGGTACCTGCGGGGAAATATACCGGGAGCGGGCGATGGGGAAGGGAGCATTCCCACTGCGGCCCTATGCCTTGTAAATCCTACCCCACTGTCCACGACCGTACCGTCCAAATTGCCTAACTGCACATCAGCCTCCAAATCTTTCCTCTCTTTCCCGTATAGGCAATTTGAATACTCGTTTTATGTAATGCACGTGGCTGGTAGAGTGCTTGACTGCTCGCTCTTAAGTCGAGTTGCATGTGGCTGCAGGTAATGCCGAGAGTCCAGATGAGCGCTCCCGCCTTATGTACAGCCTCCGTTGTCATTAGGTTTGGGGGCCAGAACTGTAAACTGACCTGTTGTCTACAGAGTGGGAACGGTGTGTGGGGAGAAAGTCCACTGCATCGGAACGGTTGGGAGGGCAGCCATCATCTGAACCCAACCTGCTCTCGTTTCTTCTCTACGCTTCATCCAATGCTCTGCTCCTTCAGACCTTCTTGACTCGCTTCAACTTGCGTGCGCATCACTACTCTCGTCACTTCTCATCTGGTTATACCGCCCTTGGCTCCAATATTTCCCTCTCTCTCTCCACACATCCCTCTCGCCGATGCCCACGCCGATGTGCATCATGCATCGGATGGATTTGAACGCCCTACTCTACCCACTCTTTTCTCGCTCTCGACCCCTGTACCTGCCCCGGCGTCGTCTTGTGCATGGCTACTGGGAACCAGTTCCTGGTCCTCGCTTTGATCGAGGTCTGGGCAACTGTGCCGCTCCCGAGGCGTCCATCATCACGCCAGCCATCTTTCATGACCATCGCGGGGCTCCTGCCGACGTCTGTGCCGCTCTGTTGTCAGGGAAGTCCTTTGTTTGGAGACCTCTAGTTGCTCTATGGAAGGATGGACACCCATGGCATCGGGTTGCCAACTGGCTTACTTTCCAGAAGCTCTCACTTACCTGATTACGGAATCTCCCTCTCAATACCAAAGTTCCCCGGATTCAATTGCCTATTCCCTGTTCTGCAAGCGTTCGGCAACGGTGGGCAGTGCGGGGTGCTGGGAAAAGAAATATCGACTGCGCAAGTGCTCGCAGAAGAGCAACAACAACAGACGCAGCCACCGACCCCATGTCCTCGACTCTTCGTCAACCATCGACGCAAAATGGCGGGGCATGCGACAACAATGTGAAGTTGCCTACTTCTGCTGACCGTCAGCTCTAACCCCTGTTCCATGGCGCCACCTCGACGCGGCTTATTCGCACAGCTTCCAAGAGGCTGGAGGCTTTGCCGCATGCACCGTCTGATCCGTTTGTCATAGCTCCGGTTCTCGATTCACGATACTCGATGTTCTTGAGCCGCTCCTTGTCAGTCACTACAGCCGACACGCGACTAACGTACCCAAGCTATTATGGCGTGCTTTGCTTATCATATAGCTCTTCTATCGAGGCACTCCAGAATCGCCGGCGTCTTGAGCCGGCGAATCTTTTTCCTCCCGGGGCTATCTTCCGGAGCTATTGGTAGCTGTTGCTATTCCTGATGGAAACCAACACATCAGAGTTCAGTCTAGGGCGGCTGGATAGCTGGGGCGAGTCAGGGGTACCCCGCGGGAAACATTGGGCCACTTGGGCGATCGCTGGATCATACTCTGGCAATGGCGGCACTTGGGGAACTTGTGCCGAGCTTTAGTTGTCAACCCACGAACACGCCGAATACACGGGCAAGACGCGGGCGGCTTCGCATCTTGGCTGACAACTGGGCACAGTCGGGCAATGGCGCAGTTCGCTCTATCCAACTCCACGATGGCTTTTGGATCATTTCAAAAGACATGCATCTTCCAAGCAAGACTAGTAAACGGATGACCGAGGTCTAGTTTGTCAACACTATTTTCCTTGGATTTGCCCGGCGCTGGCCTGGTTACCATAGTCCCGGCTCTTTTCCAGAATTTTGGCGGCCACACCAAAACAAGTTTTGTGCTCGCTCGGAGCCGGCCCCTGGGTCTGGTTGGACGCGTTCCTGTACACCAACGACTTGGACTGCAACCCTGGTGCGTCTGTTTATTGGACGTTCCCCGCGGCCTGCAGGTCTTGAGCTTGGTGCCACAACATGGACACGAGCCCTCCTCGAGGACACAACAAGCATCGCGCTACGTTTGTCCGACATTGAGAAACTTATGCACCGGTCGAGTCCGCCTCATATCCAGCTCCTGACGGCGAAAATCTAATCAAAAGAAGACGCGGCTAGAAAATGACTGACAGCGCAAGGCCCAACGACTATCTGCGATACGAAGACGCCGCTGTTTGCTGGTGCTCAACTTTATTACTACTCGGGTGTACTTGATCGGTCAAGAATCAAGAGCGAACGCGATTGTGTGAAGCGACTAAGGCAAAGATGGACCAAGTGAGGGGGTTTCTTCGATTGCCAGCGAACATTTCCGTCACCTCGCGGCCTGCAGTGCTGCCTTGCCAGCCTTCTTGAGCATCTAGTCAGACAGGATTGACGAAAAGCCCTGGAATTATTGGCTCTATGCCTTGCTCACAGCCTGTGTCGTGTCAATCCTGCTGTCATTGGGCCAAGGGATTCCCAAAGCTCACCACATAAGACACCTGGATTATAGTAAATGCCCCTCCATGTGCCGTCATCGTCAGTCGGCCGTTACCGACACCAGTCGCCAGGACATCAAGGGCTGAGCTGACAGCCTTTACAACGGCATTATGGCCGGGGCAACATGGCCAGCCGGGGGATGGCGGTCTGCCTAGTCTTTCTGTAAGCTGCAATGCCATCGGCCCTAGTCAGCTCTCGCGCTCTTATTCGTTCAAGTCATCACATTAGCTACCTGTCTGACGGTCAAAGGTGACATGGGTATCGCTGAACCTTGTCGAGCCTCGCCGTCCAGGTCTGTCGTCGTCGTCCAACCTCGTCTCTTGGCTGCAGTTGCACTACGCACACCAGGTGGCGTATGCCTCATCTTCCGATTTCGAGTCAAAACTGCGCCTTTGGCTGCCGTGTCGCCATTCGGCCGAGACTAAGTCGTTCATCGACACACACCACAGGAATCGTCCTACACCAGCGTCCTCACCTATCCCATCGAGCTCTCCTCCAGCCACACATGGAGCTCCAGGTTCTTCCCAACTGCTGGGCTGCATCTCCAAGATCGCCTTTCCTCGTATCACAGACTTGGCGTACTCGTCCTCGACACCCTACCAAAGGTCCTCTTTCGTGGACCAGGCCGTGACCGGTCTACTGTCCACATGGCCCAAGACTACTGCAAGCCGTACTGGAGATCGTCAACCTCTGTTGGTCGACGAGCAGAGATGTCATCTCATCCTCCGCACTCTGCTTCCTCTTCTCCTCACCCGTCCGTCTGCAGGCAGACCGGGTATGCCGGCCACCTATTCATGCCCTCAAGATATAAGCTTACCCAGCCATCTCTTCTTTGTCCGAACCTTTTCTCCTTTTTCTCCATCCTCTTGCAGCCCTCACCAGCCTCTCTCCATCTCCCAGCCAACCACTTTCTCGTGGTCTTGTGCTGTAAAGTGACTCGTTCGTTAAGGTTACTGAAGAGACTCTCGCTCAAGTCAAAGCTCTCGTTTCCCCTCCCCTCGTTTCAAGAGCATCTCTCGCTTGATTGCTCTCAACCTCGCCTCTGTCCGCAACTATGAAGTTCACCACTGCTCTGCTGGCTCTGGCCGCCACTGCCCTCGCAACTGAGGATCACGACTGGGGTAAGGACAAGACCAAGACCATCGTCACAGAAGTCTTGACCACGTACACGACCGTGTGTCCTGTTGTGAGTAGTCCTCAAGCCCCTTTCTTGATGCCGCGGAGCTGACGTCCCTTATTAGACAATTACGAAGCCCGGCGAACACACCACTCAGTATGAGACCATTACGACCACCTCCACCGTCGTGGAGAAGCATCCCACGACGATCTATGAGACCCTTCCTGGGGCCACGGAAGTCGTGACGGAAATCGACACCGATTACACCACTTACACCACCTACTGCCCGATCGTAAGTATTTTCTCTCCAAACAAAGGCTCCAAGAAAAGGCTACTCGCAGAAACTAACAGCTTCTACAGACGGAGACGATTGTTGGAGAGGGCACCACAAAGACGGTTGTGTACACTACGCTCAGTACCGTCGTCGAGAAGAAGCCAACCAAGATCATCGAGACCGTTCCGGGCCCGACGGCCGTAGTGACGGCCACGGATGTCGAGCTAACCACCCTCACCAGTCTCTGCCCGGTCACGGAGACTTACACCGAAGGCGGCAAGACCTGGACCAAGACATACACCACCACGTCCACCATCGTGACTCACGTTCCTACCAAGGTCTGGCAGACCGAGAAGCTCCCTGACGTCACCAAGACGGAAAAGGACGTTGAGTACACCACCATCACTTCTCTCTGCCCTGTGGTGAGTCTTCAGAGCCCCTTCTCCCAGCTAAACCTTCCCAAGCCTCCCCGAGCTAACATAATGGCCAGACCGAGACCAAAACCATCGGTGGAGAGACGGTAGTCGTCACTTACACGTCCACTTCTACCATCGTGACGGAGGTTCCCACCAAAGTGGACATCTGGACGACCGTAAAGACCACTCAGCATCTTTCTACGGAAGTCTACGAGACCATTACAAAACCCGTCACGACTTATCAGACCCTCGAACACGGAGAGACGATTTGGGTCACCGCCACGGGCACTAAGACCATTACCGTCGAGAAGGTCCACACCCTCACGGAAGTCATCGTCGAGACCAAAACGGCACACGTCGAGGTCACTCAGGCCGTGACCGTGGGAGGCGAGAGTGTCGTGACGCAGAAGTCATGGGTCTACGTCACCGTATCGGGAACCGTGTTCGCTACGCAGACCCGTCCCGCCAGCACTCTCGTCGTTCCTACGACCAGCGCTGTGACCCTTCCCCCGGTCACGGTATCGAGCCAAGCTCCGGTGGTCGTGCCGACCGCTGCCGCCGACGCCCACAGAGCGCCGGGGGCCGCCTTGCTGGCTGGCCTTGTCGGAGCTGTCGCGCTCCTCTAGACTCTTGGCCCTGTAAAATGGATCATTTGCTTCTAGGCTTTTCTTTTCTATCCCTTTGCTTCTTCGGGGGAAATCTTTGACCTCATTTCTACACTAATGCCTGGAAGACTAAGCAATCATTCGTCCTACATTGGATGACCGGGCTTTTAATGAATGGATCGCATCCATATGAACTTAACGACAAACTCAATGCTACGACAGCACGGATATACAGATATACCCCATTACACTCTCTGATGATAAACCGGGAAAAGGAAGGATCGAAATGATGGATAGGAACACACGGCGGGCAGGTAATTGGAACAATGGTTTCTCAGGCGAATGGGCATGGAGGGTAATTCTATTTGGCAGCACGAGGTCACGCAAAATCTCTCTCTTCAAAGGGAAATTGTAAGCAACTCTAGTTGCAGTAGACCCCGATTTCACTTCATGTACATAGACGCGCTTATCCAAAGCGTAGGATTTAGCAGACGGGAGAAGGCTTCAAGGAGCTTTCTTGACATAATGTGGCACATTGCATTCTTGCAAGAAAGAAACTATATGGTTATCCGCTGGTGAGAATGACTGGATAGTGATGGTTGTGTGCTTAACCCCCCCCCCCCCCCCCCCCCCGGACCTGGTTGCATTGCTCGCATTGTTATGTGCTGGCCGTTGATCGGAGCGATGTAACTTCGTGTCAGGATGCACAAAGTCACGGTTGGCTCTTGGCCGGTGCGAATGGCGTGGTGCGGTGTGGTTGTCAAGGGCGGGAGGGGCTGGTGGTGTGGTGCAGTAGGATTGGACGTCGCCTTCTTAGTCTGAATATGGTGGCAGGGGAGGATGGAAATCCGGGGAAATCGTTTCCCATGGACCAGAAGTGCGGTCTGCGTGTCCAGGCTTCGGCGGCGTCTCGGGCGATGGTTGCCGAGCACACACTCGGAGAGGTGGATCACATCTCGGGACGGGAGTGCAGCGTTCCCCGGACCGGAAGTGGGTCCGAATACGGGCAATGCTTTGGAATTAGGCGTTAAATAGCTCGCTGCTTTCTCCTTGGACTGTAGGTAGCCGCCAGATGCCCAAAGGGATACCGTTTTCTAGGTGCAGGCTGGTCTAAGGTACCCGCGCGGTTTATAAAGCCATTTTCGAATGTTTCACGCCCGCGCTCTGTAGTAGACGGACTCCGGTCCACCCAAAGACTGAATGATGTATCAAGGTAGCTTGCTTGAGACTGCTTCTTTCCTTTCCGCACAGTGGCTACATTCAAGCCAAGACGCTCATCTCGGGAGACCAAGCACCGGAGCTCGAAGCGCACACGCAGACGTTGATGAGGGGGGGGTGGGATCTCCCTTCTGAACCTGCGCAAAATAGCTTAGACGTTTACTGTCCTACCTCGGCATCCACTGACACTCACTGCATTGAGACGCCGTTGTCGAAATATGCAATCGTCGGGAAGATCGGCGCCGGAACTCCACAAGAGAGACAGTTGTCTCAGCACCACCGACCTTGAGTCGGGGGACTCTGCCAAACGGCCCTTGAATGCCCCTTACTGCCCGGCACGTCACCAGCCCGAGATCTTAATCTGGTGTGGAGAAGGCCGTTTAGCCTGAAGCGGTAGTCGGTGCCAAGCTAGCATACGTCCGTTCTGGTATTCGTAGAAGAGCGAGGTGGATTGGAGATTCTGAGACTATCTGAGCCTTTCAGGAACGAGGGATGAAATGAATTGCCTTACACCATAGCAAATACCGGCTTGAAGTCCGGGCAAACATCGGTTGATTGAAATTCGTCGCAAAATCATAAGCACTCCTTTTCTCTGAATTGATTTCTTTTCTGTCAGGCTCCTTGGTGCTTGATGATGCGCACATTGACGTGAGAGTCTAGGGAGGTTGACACGGGAAGCTTTAGACTGTTGCCGGCCTGTCCCGCCTTCTAATCGAATTTTTCATCTCGGGAACTAATAAAGCTTCCGCACTATGCCAAATGCCAACACCCGAAGTACAACAACGGTTCGGGAATGCTTATGCTTATAACAGGCAAGGTTTCTACAGCTGCCGCAAGTGGATTGGCTTCGGCTCTTGGAGATAAATTTCTCTGCCAAGATATCACTTACATCATTATGTTGTTTCTCTCATAAGCGTTAGGCGGGCTGGCCTAAACACCGACCTAGAGCGTACTGGGGCTCATCTGACGAGACGTTGCCCGAAGCGGTATCTCGGTGGTCTTCGGCGGTGCTAAGAGGAAGGTTAGTCGACAATTTGAGGTGAAACCATCGCAGATCTTGGTACGACGAGATTAAGTATTCATCCGAGCTGTTTGCTCCACCGTCTGACTTGTCGGGTTTGATTTGAGCTTAGGTGGGTCATTTTAAGTGATTCACTTTGAAGAATCCGGAAGGGAGACTTTGAGAAGTTACCTTTTTAGGAGACAAGTTTCTTGAACTAAAGAACTGGGAAAGCATTACTGTCTCGGATTTAAAATGTCTCTGATTACACACATACTAGGTATCCTGGCAGCACTGGGTGATAGTTCGTCATTGAAGCTCTTCCGCCCAAGCCCGTGATTCTTGATTCTCATACACAGGGACTGCTCTGAAGACTTAGCTTGGGATTAGATTTTCCAGCAAGATGAAGAGATCTGCAGAGTTGCTGATCATTCCTAATGAAGGAGCTTGGCAAACATCATGCTCATGTTTGCTGGCATGAAAGCGGCAGTGTAAGTGACGAGCCATGAGGGTGTCAGGATCTCGGCCGGTGAGGGAAATCCGCAGAGTCTGAGATTGCTGATAGTGGACTTCAAGATGCATACAAATGATTTTGCTGTTGTCACCCAACACCAAGTATAAGAAGTTGTTCATCTTCCGGCAACATTGACATTCGCAGCACAGCTCTCATCATCATCTCGTCTTCTAATCATAGTCAAGTCCATCTTCTCCAAGTATACCAACCAGGCTTCTAGTAACTTCGCCTCCCAAAATCACCAAAATGCAGTTCTCAATCCTCAAGCTCGCCGTCGCTGCCCTGGCAATCTGCAGCGACTCCGTCCTCGGCCAGACGACCCCAGCTCAGGTCGTTCAAAACATCGACATGGTCACCAAAAAGTCCAACGATCTCATTGCCCCTGCGAAACAGATCTCTATCCTCACGGGGCCATTGATCATCGTCGGCCTAGGACCATACCCAGTAAGTTCAGCTCCATAGGCGTTCCCCAGATGTTGAATCATTGTCGATATATCGAAGCTAATCCCTTTCTTTTCTGTCACGTAAAGAAAATCATCGCGGGCTTCGTAGACATTGTCAGCACCGTCACCACGGCCCTCGCCCAGATGCAGGGGATGCCTCCCGTCCCAGCCGGCCCCCAGTCCGATGCCATCTTTGAGGCGTTCCGAGAGTTCGTGCGCATTCATCAGATGCTTCTCAACGTCCTCATCGGCAAGGCCGGTCTTTTTTCGACCGTTCCATTGATCGGTGCGCCCATCGCTGCCGTCCTCAGAGAGGTGGAGAATATTGTCGATGTGAGTCTAATTCTTCAACCCCTCTCCCCACCATGGAACCTACCAAAGTTTCGAGTACGTCGAGGGGTTTGGCTGACACTCTTACGCTCTAAGACCGTCGCTTTTGCCCTCATCGATGCCGTGCAGAGCAGAGCCACCGATCTCCAGGTACAGGCCAGCATGCTCACCGGAACTATCACCACCACGATCGACCGCTACCAAGGCCTTCAACTGTAACTCGTCAGATTATCTATGAATGACTGAAGGGAGTGGAAGGGCTGGTTTGGAACGAGTAGGGCAAGCCTACTTCATTTCTTGATGCTGCCATAATGGAACGGAGCTTCTCTGCGCTCAGCCACGGGAGCTTGTGTTCATCGGCAGTGTAATTTTTCTCTATTGGTATTTTCTTTATTAATGCAGCATGGTTTTCGCTCGAGCAGTTGCTTTAACACCATCCTTAGAAGCGAGATGACTGCGTTGCCACTGAGCTGGGACTTGATCAGCCGACACTTATACAAACTGCTTTCACATTTTACTAGGTGATTGGGAATTGATAATCAACCTGGCAGCGTCGTAGTGTATCGCCGAACATGAACCTGAAAATCTGTGATGATTGCAAGAGTGGTCTCGTTACGTATGGAAATGTAGATACCGTGATCTGATCATGGCTCCCGAATCCTATAAACAGACAACCAGACGGGGTTGCGTGTGTCTATTTCGTAAGAACCGCAACCGAAGCCCTACAAAATGACAGTACTTCGCGATTTAGGTCCTCGCCAGTGGAACCCAAAGTAGTCAGAAGGCCGCTGATGGACTTTTGAAAAGAGAGACACATTTTATAGAAATTTCTGGTTGTGTGTGTGTGACTACCTACGACGGTTTCCTGTTGACTTTCCGCGGCCTTGCCGGTGATAAAGAACAAAAAGAGCCCCCAAAGCCCCATCCTTGTAAACGCTCAATCAAAGTCAGATACAATAGACAATACATACAACACTGTCACGTTTCTAAGTCGGTGACTATGTCATGGAATGCCTTCCGACTGGCAGCATATGTCGCACCAACAGGAAACCCGCCGGGCACTCTCGGGAAGACGGAGCCATCGACAACTCTAAGTCCTTGAACACCATGAACCCGGAACTTTGAATCAACACAACTGTCCAGATTTGTCTTGCCCATTCTGCAGCTGCCAGCGGCATGATGACCCCAAGTGTGATCTCTGATATGTTGCTCGAGTGAACGATCCGCAGGGGGGTCGATGACCTGGAAGGGCTGATACGGCTCTCCAGTGGCGTTCATGATGGACATGAGATGGCTAATGCCCTCAGAAAGAGCAGAAATATCGACATCGGAATCTTCTTGATAGAAGTTGAAGTTGATGTCTGGTGCTTCTCGGGGATTGGACGATCTGAGCCTCACGGTGCCTGTCGGATTGCCGTTTTGCATCTTCACGACAGCCCAGAAGAAGGATGTCGGCGGCCATACAATTTCGCTGAACCCGGGGTAGTGACCATCGAACACACCACCGGCCGCACCAAAGATTATGAGGTCGCAATCTGCATTCCTGGATTGGTTGCTACGATGCAGCATGAAAATGGGAGCAGCCGCCTCACCATATGCACCATAGCCGGCTTCCCATTGTGCAAGGCAGGGGTCTGTCTCAGGGCTACCAGGCGTACACTCTGCGAAGGGACTATTCTCCCATGCGATGTTTGACTGAACGTTGATGCCCGCCTCGTAGTTGTCCTGCAGAAACTCACCCTGGGAGATTCATTAGTATGAAGAGACTTCTCATGAGGAAGCCAATGCTTACCACGGCTGGAAGATCAACAATAACTGGGATGTCGAATTTCTGTAACTCTTGTTGAGGTCCAATTCCACTGAGCTTGAGAAGCTGAGGAGTGTTGAATGCACCGCCTGAGATGATCACTTCCCTCTTAGCCCTCACAGCGCGTACCTGGGGCTCGACCGAGGCATCATATCGTTGATCGGCTTCATAGAGACCTTCTCCAACCATGAACTCTACCCCATAGGCCTTCAAGCGAGTCCCGGCATTTTCCATTAGAATGCGAGTCGCGAGGCTGTGGGTACTCATGGTCAATGGATATCGTGGTGTTCCATCTTGCCGTCTCGCAGCCAAAGTATCCGTGATGTAATTCCACGGGCTGCTTCTGCGGCGGTTCTCGTCAATATGTAATGGTACCTGATACAAACCCGGGATTTCGTAACGATCGCTATCGGGGCGGTTCATGTCTCTTTCCATCAGGTCGATGACTCGTTTGGAGTCGGGTGCTTCGATGCCCTCAGTTTGGGAGATGGCGTTCTGAACCACACGAAGTACGCCCGGCCGATCGACAACATAAGAAATGTTGTTTCTGTTTGTCTTCCTCCTGTCAATTAAATTTTTTTCCTGCTGATGCAGTCCTCTTACCGAAATATATCCGTCGAAACCATGGCCTGGCGTCGCTTCAGGCGCATAGGTATTTCTCTCAAGCTCGATAAACATTGATCTCATGTTTTCAGGGCCCCAGGACTCGTCACCTGTAACATCGGCGAAGTGGTTCCAGTCACTGTCGGGTGGGAAAATCACATTCATGGCATTCGCTATAGCAGAACCACCGACCGTAGCTCCTCTGGGGTAGTATATGCCTAATCTGAAACTGTGATTAATGTCTATTCAATCAACGTGTTGGTGCGTGACTTACGGAGTTGCATCCTCCGGGGCATCAATGCCGTACCAGAGTGTGCCATTTGCAAGACGGTAGGTGAAGTAACGATCGCGACGGGCTTGAGTCTCATTCTGGTAGTGAGACACAAAAAACTGCCAAGACATAGCAGGGTGCTCCGAGTTGACATCCGCTCTATGAAGTATAAGCACAAATACTTGTATCTCGAGCGGTCCAGAAACTCACAAGCCGGGGATCTGCTGAAGACTATCATCACCCATATTGCCTCCAGCCTCAATGAGAAAGACAGAATGGCCCTCACGTGCAAGGCTTGCGCTGGAAAATGTCAGCAATAACTTGACAAGAGGGTAGTCGGAGGCAATCCTTACGCTAGAGTGCCACCCCCAGGTCCTGAGCCAACGACAACATAGTCATAAGCCGTATCGTTGAGAGAACTTCCAATAGCGCTGTCACTGAACAGGAGAAAGAAGGCGAAAGAAAAAAGCTTCAGCATCGTGTCTAAATGATGTCCAATTGCCTTGTTTCCATCTGCTATATCGAAGCAATGCCCTGTACTGGGTAGATACTGCTCTTATATATTCCATGATGCCAAGACCGTCTTAGCAGTAGTTGTGTAAGTGGGCAAAGTACCAACATTGAGAAGAATGTATCCAACATGAGACGCGCAACTTAGAGGCCTCGTCAGAGCGTCTGCCAAGGGTCGATCATCATCGTCCTCGTCGCGCATGCTGCTGCAAATGCGAAAGCAGGGGGCTGAGTAGACCAGCTTATGAATCCTTCATCGCGGTGGTCTGTCTTAAAAGAAAAATACCGGATTATGGTGAGTATTTCAGCTACAATAAGGAAACAAGGTTCTGATGATGTGAGGCTAAACCCTTTGTCGACTCGCTGCTGACCAGCCCAGCCTGCAATCTTCCACTGAGCTTTACTTAGCGTAGTTTTGGTCGGTCCTTGGCGGACTGGTGTAGTTTGAAAGAACTGATGGGCTTCGTTTGGCGGCCTTGGCTTAAGGCAAGCAACTCGGAAATAAGTTGGTCAGCTTACATCATTATCGGATTTCTATTGACCATGGTCCGTTACACCGATGCGAACGCGAAAACCCGGCAAGAAATCTGACTGTGCAACACTTCATCCGTGCTGCTTTTCGCCAGAAGAAAACAAAGTTGTGGGATGATGCAACTCTGCCAAGTCCATCTCTAAACAGATTGCGGTGGGATAGATGTACTCTCATTGAATCAACCCCCATCTTGAGTTGAGGCAAGTTAGTATTGCGATAACTAAGCAATTCTCCGATAATGAAGCAGAATGGAATGCGGCGAGATAATGCCGTGCTGTCTATTAGCGCAAATGCCATCCTCTCTGTGAAATTGACTCAGGCCCCAGACGTGGCTGCCTACTGGGAGCAGATATTGGTAGCATCATCGGACGTTACCGAAACCGTCGTCCGGCTTCTCGGTGAAGGACTGCTGGTGGGGGAAGCCAAGCTCCCGAGATCAATCGCAAGCTTCGGGAGTACCATGGGAACTCCAAATCATCGTATCGACTCATTGTCTATTGTTGCTTCAGCTGTTTCATCCTAGCTGGTTCATAACTCATAGCCTTTGAAGACAACTTTATGGCCCGCGGACAAGTCTGCGGTTGGGCGGCCGATAAAGTGGATATGCCGAAGCCGTGTCCGGCTTTAAGATGGGGCTGTTCCGGCGCCGGTCCGTGTGACCGTGAGCGGCAATATGGCCGCCGGACAAGTGAAGAAGACAGACAGGACGCAAAATAGAGTAGCCCCTTGAATAGACAGAGTATTCCACACATTATCGCGACATCATGTCTGCCTTTTACGCATGGGACGGTTTACTCATTATAAGGCTCTCGGAATTCTTCTTCCCGCTTGTACTCGTTAGACTTCGTTTGTTGTTTCTTGCAGCTAATTATGTTTCATTACCCAATGCTGACCCGTCTGGAACGAACCGGGTCTTCCGTTTTATAATTGCTTCTATCTTTCGAAAAGTGCTGGTGAGATGTCGAACAACGCATTACAGATATTGTTCGCCGTTACCCGTTTTGACGGCCGTCCACCCGAATAAGGTGTGAAACGACACGTGCGGGATGCCGGTTGGGTGGACGCGACGGGTAGAATCCCATAAAAATGACCAAGTCTCATGATCCCACCGGTAAACCAAGCTCACCGTGCCACTTGGAATGTTTCATTCATCAATTCTCTCCAATGAGACGATGGGCCGAGTCCAAGCTCTCGGGTCTTCCTTGCGGCTTCTCCACTGTAGCTTATTTCCTCTGCAAACGGCTGGGTTCTTGGGAAAATAACCTCCCGCTCTCTGTAGTATTTGACAAGTTGCATCTGGTTGATACTAGGGTTGGAACATGTAAAGGCTTCGGAAAAGCCGAGGATACCATGTTATAACCCCGTTGAGGGCCAAAGACATAAAGGGACTTGGCCCAACTATGATACGGCAGAGAAATATTGTGTGATCTGATAAAACATCGACGACAATACTCTCTCTCACAATATCTAGCGTGTTACACAAGGTACTAATAGGTCAATCATGGGGTCAATCATGGAGTTCTCGTTCAGGGGCTGGTCTCCTCAATCCACAACTACCGCCTTCGTCTTGTTTGCGCTCCTTACACTTGGGTATGCACAACAACCAGCACAAGTCAAATTGGACGATGGATCGTACTCCGGTTTAACAGCGAATGGATTCAATAAGTTCTTGGGAGTTCGGTATGCGGCACCACCACAACGCTTTGCACCGCCGGTGCCCTCTTCGATGGCGCCTCACAACGATGTAATGAACGCGACTGCTTTCGCTCCATCCTGCATCCAAGCTATTCCTGGTGAGTGACACCCACTGATATTCATCGGGGCTTATTTGGGGCTTTGCTCATGTTCATTGCGATACTGACTTTCAACAGCTGCGATTGCTGCCACGATGCCGTCTGGTCCGGAAAGCGAGGATTGCTTATTCCTCAATGTTTACGCACCCTCTTCTCCACCACCCGCCGAAGGAAGAACTGTCATGGTATGGTACTATGGTGGAGGCTTTCAGTTTGGATCTGCCAACACACCAATGTTCGATGGCTCGAGCTTTGCACAGAACCAGGACGTTATCATTGTGACGCCCAACTACCGAACGAGTGGTGAGTGACTGTTGATAACCCAGAGAAAGCATCCTTTTGCCTTTGACGTTGAACTTTGCTAATCATTCCGACTGTAGTTTTCGGATTCCCCGGTGATGTCGAGGGCATACCTCCGCAAATGCGCAACGTCGGTCTGATGGACCAGAAACTAGCACTTCAATGGGTTCAACGCAATATCAAGGCCTTCGGTGGTGACCCAAACAAGGTGACGCTGTTCGGGGAGTCGGCCGGTGCTTCGTCCGTCGACCTTTTGCTACTTACAAGCGGTGCACAGCCCCCCTTTCGTGCGGTAATCACAGAGTCTGGAACATCATATCTCGTCACCGGACCACAGGCAGGCGGAGACATCATCGGGCTCATGACCGGTCTCTTGGGCAGACCAAATATGGCGACCCCGTTTCAATCACTCGCGGCTTCGCTGAACTGCGGCAATCAGAAGGCACTTGATTGTGTGAAAGCCGCACCGGTGGACGCTATTGTATCCGTACTGTCTAAAGGCCCCTTCAACTTCCCACCCGTAGCCGACGGAGACGCAAACGTACCAGCGTCACCTGATGCTACACGAGCTTCGGGCAAGGTTCCTCGCGTACCCATGATGATAGGGACGAACCTCAGGGAGGCCGATATCTTCACAATGGCCCAGCCACCGACCGCTTTGGATGTCTTTGTTGCGGCAACTTTTCCCGGAGATACTGCCCTGCAGAAGGCTGTCGTTACCGCATATCCGGTTGGAGCCGGGATGCCTTTCCCGACTCCAAAAGACGCAATCACTCAGTTTGCAACAGATTTGGATTGGACCTGTAGCATTGCCCACGAAGCTCGTCTCTCGGCCCAATCCGGGGTGCCAACTTGGAGATACCTCTTCAACTCCACCTCTTTCCCGCCAACACCTGGGGGTATCTTGTCTCGCCCGGTACACGGCTCTGAGATTGGATTTGTCTTTGGCAACCTTCCGCCGCCGCCGGCAACACCTGATCAGGCTCTTGCGCTGAGCAAGTTTATGCAAACGGCGTGGGCTAACTTTGCCAAGAACCCCACCAACGGGCCTGGAGTGCCTGTCTGGACGCAGTTTTCTGGTATGCCTGGTGCGATGGACCTGGGTAACTTGGGTGGAGTTCTTGGTGACGGAGTCTCAATGATAGATTCAAAGGTGGTTGACAGCCGTTGTAATCTTTTTGATGCGTCGTACGCCATGACAAAATGAGGGCTCTGCGGTTAGATACAGATTACTCGATTACTCTACCTTCAAGCCGGGATCGATAACCGTTGGTTTATCTGCAGTATTGTTGGCATGCGACCCAGGGTTTCTACATTACAATCATCATCTCCGTCGTGGGCATCTCAGTCGTCTCGTTGTGCAACCTCTCCCATCTCAACTTTGCACTCTATGCGGGGTATTACGGGGGCTTGTCTGCAAACACCTCTGCATTTCCTAAAAAACATTAGCTGGAGAGATTTGAATTTTAATCCACCCCCTGATTCCGTCTTCGTACCACTTACCGCCCGGGTGGGACGGCCTCCTGTGCCTCGGACAAGTTCGCAGCTGGGAGGCCGATAGAGCGGGTCGTCCAAGGCCGTATCCGTTCCGATAAGTGGGGGCATCTGCCCGGCGCCGGGCCGCGCGACGAGGTTCGTCAAAATGGACCCCGCACAAGTAGAAGACAGACGGAACCATCAGAATACCTCAAGTAACCAATTAATGTATGAACAGCCCTCGTTCTAGCTATGAGATATTAGTGAGGAGCCAGACAATTGTGGATGCGCCATCATCTAAAAGGTCGCAAAAAACGCTGCGCCGTCGCCGTAATCACCCATCTTAATATCTACCTTGCCTTACGCGATGACTTGAAGCGCCCTGGGATGTGGATTCTAAGGGATATTCGAAGGGATATCATGGTGCCTGAACTGATTCAACGTGAAAAGCCTTGACCTTTGAACAAATCATCTGTCGATCTCTGCTGGAAAGAATACGGATACAGATACAAAAGAAGTGAAACAAGTATTTTTTCCACTCCCAGACAAGAAGGGTGGTAGAAACAGCTGGTAGTGTTGTGGTTATGAAAAGGCACTGCTTCAGATTCGGGAGGACCATTTGGCTCCTCGTATCTGGGCGTGCTGGACTTTCTGGAATGAATGGCTTCTAAGGGCTGCATGACCATTGCCATCTCCGGCAGGCTGCCTTGGCAAAGCTTTTTGTATGCCGGTTCAACCCTCATCTGGGCCAATTAGTCGGAGGTGAGCTTGGGAAACTTCAGGGCTCCTAAGACGTGGGGTTCTCCGAAGCATGCTTGCTTTTCAGGGCTGAACCAAATCCAGTTCATTTGCCAGACCGTAATCGTACCCAGACTGCTCTTGTCAGTCGTGCCTTAGTGTACATGAGCGGAATACTTGACTGCCATGCCCGCCCTTAGAAGCTCGCCTTAGATCTCAGTTATTTCGATTCCCTGTTCCTGACTTCAACTCCGATTCCCCGCATTTTGCCAAGTCTTTGTTGATTAGGCACCTAAGATCTCCGAAGAAGATGTCCTCGCCTGAAGGCCGTGTGAGTGACCGCTGTGACTGCCTATCCCAAAACGTCCTTTCAATGATGAACTTTACTCAGTCAGCTCCCTTTACAAGGCGAGTTCTAGAGTCTGGGTCGCAGGCTGCCAGTCCTTCACGCAGCTTTAAGGAAATGCTTGCAGATTTGCTTCCGGCATCCGAACGAACCCCATCTGGAAATTTGAGTGCTCCTGCTGAAAGGGTTTCGGAATGGCTTGATCGGGAGTTGAACCTTCACCGACTCACTGATTTATTCGACTCATTGTGGTTCGCGGGAAGGCCTATGCCGCCACACCCGCTCCATCTCCAACGATTCTTTGGCCGCGAAATTGTGGTCACTGAGCACATGGATTTACACCTTGTGTGGGGTGGAGGTCGCACCTTCATGAAGCCGCTACCGCGCTATCTTCTTGAGCCTCAGTTTTGGGAAGAGTATCTGCCTCACTCACACCCACATAAGACGCCTATCAATGGGTATCCGACTGCTTGTAGCGACACTCGTCGACGCGCTCTTGGCTTTCTCCACTCGTACGTGGCTCTTGTAGCACACGAGAGCGACTTTCATATCGCCAAGGCTAGTAACCTTCTTCCGCAGGAGTTACAATGGCAGCCATGGAAGATGCTTGTTCAAGAGCTGCTGAACAGAGGAAATGTCTATCAGTGTGTCGACAAGCGCTTCTATTACGGAGAGCTTCGTCTCAGCCGGTTCAACAAGATCTACTTATTCCGAAAGACCCCTCTGCGTGGCTATATGCCCCGATGGAACCAGTATGGTGCTTTTCTGAGCGACCATTTACCCATCTTAGCAAGCTCCACCGTCTACATTGCTATAGTCCTGACGGCTATGCAAGTTGGCTTCGCGACGGATCTCCAGGATAACGCGACATTCCAAAAGGCTTCTTACCACTTCACTGTCTTCTCTATCATCGGCCCCCTAGCTGCTGCAAGCCTGCTTATCATCACATTTGTGTATTTTTTTGCCTGGAACTGGGCCATCACCAAGCGCGATGGGAGGAAGAGACTAGAAGATATCTGTAAGCTAGCCGGAGAATGGCGACAAATTGCCACTTTGGGAGAACATCATTCAACAATTATTAACTTTGCTATCCATCTGAACGTTCTCTTCATACGTCCTGCTTTAACTGCAGCCTCAAGCTGTGAAATTTATCCGCCTCCCATTCAGCCCAGTAATCAAAATCAGCAAATACTACTGTCAAGATCTTCAAACTAATGGCTCAACCGAAGGAGCACAGTGAAAAATACATCATGATCAATTGATTGAGCTAAACACGAATCCATGTAACATGACAGCTGGCGCGGTAGAAAGAAACCCCCATCCATGTTTGACTCCTGAAGAAGAAATAGGTTCCTAATACCTCCACTCAGGAACCCCCCATTTTCTTCGGAAGCATATCGGCCATATTGGCTTTTACATTGTTGCCCATGTTCTTGAGTTTCTTGGCACCTTTGGCCATGTTGATGTCATTCAAGCTAGCAAGAGTATTACTGATGCCGAGCCTGCCAGCATTCATCCCTAAGAAGTCGGTTCCCTCCTTGTGACTTCCGTCATCCCGACCACTTGACTGAATCGATTGCCTTTCAAATCGTTGTTCGGAATCCCGTGGCTGCTGTTGCAAAAGAGTAATCTCAGCCTGCATCTTCGCCACATCTTCCTCAGCTGTTTGAAGTCGTCGTTTCGCCTTTGCTGCATTGTCCATGGCAACCTGTCGCCTCATTTCGGCGTCTCTTGAGGATGAGCGTAGTCTATCAAGCTCTTTCTGTAGCTTCTGTGCTTCACTGCGGAAATTCTCTTCCTGGGTCGTAAGGCTCTGCTCGCAAGCTGCAAAGCTTTGCCTGAGAGACTCGTGCTTCTCTTGCAGTTTCGAAAAGCCGTGTATCGCGGCCTGGTATTTGCCCAGCTCTTCTCTCGTCTTCGCGCTTTCTGAGTCTCTCTCATGTTGCATCTGTTCCATTCGTTGCCTGTAGCCTGCCGCATTTGTCTCCGCTGCTTGCACCCTGGACATCATGTCGTCCCACCCCAGTTGAATTGAATGGAGGTCTTCAACCTCTCTTGTAAGGCTCGCCCGCTGTTCCCGCAACTTTTTGACGTCGAGCATGTCTACAATATCATGATCATCCCCCGGACGAGCTACGAGATCTCGTGCGAATGTGCTTCCATTCGCGATTGCTTTCTTGAGCCCGCGAAAGAGTGGAGACAAACTACCCACAAGTACTTGCAAACAGTCAATGTGTCCTTCATCTGCAGCAACGTCAAGAGCCGTTTGCTTGTCTGTCCCCTCATGAAGAACATCAGTTCCACGGTCTATTAGCAGCTGCAAGATCTTGGCATCTCCTTTGCGTGCTGCAAGGATGAGGGCTGTTGCTCCATCGGGACTTGACTGATTGACGTTGGCGCCGGCGTCGAGTAAGAGCTCTGTGGCTTCGTATGACATGTGAGACACTGTATTCGATAACGGTGTCGCAAGATTATTGGCTCCTGTCGTATTGACAACGAGTTCTGGCGCAGCGAGAAGGAGCTTCAAAATCTCGGGCAAATCCTTCTTCGTTGCGGCGATGATGGGGCTGGTGTACGAGCCTCGCCCAAGATTTGGGTTTGCATTCCAGTCAAGGAGTACCTTCACCACGTCAGTTCTCCCAGACTCACAGGCAGCCTGTAATGCAGTGCCTTCCGGAAATCCAGGCCCCTTGAAATAGTCGCCATTCTCTCCAGGAATTCTATCAATCTTGGCCCCGTGGTTGAGGAGATGACCGACGACCTCAGCATGACCTCCTTTCGCCGCTTGCTGCAATGGGCATCCATACGGACTGTCAATCTGAGCCCCGTGTTCTAGCAACATCTTCACAATATCGATAGTGCCGTCCCAAGCCGCGGCAGCTAAAGCGTTCCCGGAGCTTGGAATATCTGTAAAACAACTCGGATCCAAACTGCGAGGGCGGTGGTCTGTAGCATTGGCATCCGCCTTACAATCCTTCAGAAGCCATGCCACCGTCTGTGCCTTCTGGTTATCTGTAGCCTGGTAAAGAGCTGCGTTGCGCACATCCAATTCAATAGTTGAAGGGGAATTGCTCCATGTCTGTTCGAGTACGGTCTTGGCTGAGTTCCCGTCGCGCATGGTCACTGCCGCAAGGTAGAAAACGTTGCTGCCACCTAGGTCCGGTCGCGAAATTGCTAATACGCAGTCCCAACTATCTCCGATGGCGGCAGCGAAGATTGCTGATCTGAGAGCAGCGTCGTCAAAAGACTCTCCTGCGTGATCAAGGAGAGCTCTGATGTTTCCCGGCTTGTTACTGTAGCATGCTTCTTTCAAAGCTTGTCCATGATTTTGAACTGTCCACTTCGCCTTGCCTCCAATCAAGATACGCCTGAACACATCCTCTGGAGACATTCCTGCAGCCAGGGCAAGCGGCGGCGAGCCGCGGGGGTTGGCCGCATCAAGATCGATCTTGGGATGTTTCAGCAATTCCTGGACTGCTTCGCTGTGACCGGATTTGATTGCAGCATTGATGACAGGGCTATAGGTTTCACTCAAAGCATTCGGGTTTGCTCCTTTATCCAGTAAGAGCGTCAGAGTAGCAAGATGTCCCTGAATTGCGGACAAATGAAGCGGAGTCCCAAGTTCTTTCATGTGTCTGTTCACGGCGACAGCAGCATCTTCGCCCTTGCTTCTGAGGAGAGCCTTGATAGTCGCGGTGCGATCGAAAAGAGCGGCGATATGAAGCTTGTGTGACAGTCAGTAAGAAGGGTCCATCCAAACAACACAAAAGGTTCTCGTCACTTACCGGGGTGTACCCATCTGAGTTCTGGCTATCTACCTCATGCTGGTGTCCATTCGCGATCAGGCTCACTACAAGCTTGTCATATCCGAATGCTGCTGCTGCGTGTAACGCTGTCGTGCCCTGAACGGAGACGCTGTGCTCGAAAGACGGCGCAGTGGGCAGACACAGGACTAACCAGGCATCCCTCAGGCGTGAAGACTTTTCCCAGAAGCCATGTAGATTGCGAGCTAGATCTTCCGAAAGCTCTGGCTTGCCTTGGATTGCATGATTCATCCAAAAGTCTAAGGGATATGAGGGCATCTCCAACGCCAACCCATCCACCCCCGCCACAGCGGGACTTGCTACAGCTCTTTTCAAAAAGGTATGACATCTCCAAGCAAGTACGCCATGGCATCGCTTCATGCTCGTTTCCGTATTTCGTCGTTCATGGATGTAGGTATCCCCCGACATACCGAGAAGCTCATCTGATCTCATAAGGAGGTGGTGCTTGAGGGTTGCATTCTCAAACTCGACAGTTGCCAAGCCATTCTTCGGAGTGGTTAGTTGAATCATTGGTGCGCACTGGTCGACCAGGCGCTTCGCCTCCTCCTCGTCTTTCAGGCCGGACAAGATGTAGAGCTCTTTCATGGATGGGCTGCGGAAAGCCAAGACCAGTGCTCGAAGCAGTTCGACGAGAGAGTGCCTGAGTTGTGGATCCCGCTCAAGGACCTATTTACAAACGTCAACGGAATGCTCAATTTCACGCCAAAAAATTGCACTTATTGGGGCCTACCATCAGCCAGCAATGGCGCACGAGACTTTCCAAACTTGATGCATTGGCAAGGCCTAAGGTTCTTGTTATGACCTCCGTACTGCTGTCGGGTTCCAATTGCAACAGCCGGATGCATTGGATATCAATCCAATGTGTGTTGTCCGCATTGTCGACCATCATGTCCTCTATCATGTATCTTTGGTCAGGCGTGTATTTCTTCTTCTGATGCAGGTCGATGACCTGTCTCCTCGCATGATCCTGAAGAGAACTCTTGACTTTCTCAGCAAATTCGCCGGTGGATAGATCAGCGACATACGACGCCTCTGAAGCAAGCAGATTCTTGAAACGATGGCCGTCACCGCCTGTTGCGCTTGTGATCAGCCATTTCCGAGCTCTTTGAGTTCCCCCGCCAGGCTGACTTTGGCGATTGAAATTGCCGTTAATGAGGTCGATGAGCATGTTGGTGTACTGGTCTTACTCAAGCAAATGTATGTTGTTGATGACGACGTAAACGTCGCCAATGGAGTCATCGGCGAGAATATCTATGAAACAGCGCCAAAGATTGTGTAAGCTCATGGTAGCGGTAGAGTCGTCATCCAAGCTTTTGTCAGCTGAAGGTGTACTTTCCGGTTGTCTCTTTTCGGAAGATGCTTGGCGTACGTAGCAAGTAGCTGGTTCTGTTTGATAAATTGAAGTACGAGTGACTTGAGCAACTCAATCGAAGAAGAGCCATACCCGGACGATTCGCAGAGAAAGAATCCAAGGAGTGACTTTCCCGTCCCAGAGCTCAGCCTGATCTTGTGGTATATGCTGCTAATGGCAGACAACGTCGCTGACGTTTTACCCACACCGGGCCGCCCAACGATCCAGAAGAACGGACTGGTTGACCAAGAACGTTCCCAGCACTGATAGTGTTCATTCTCGAAGACCCATGACTTTTCTTTCTTCGCTTCCACGATGGCTTGATGCTTATACCAGAGACCAGAGTCGAGCGTATTCATCAGATCCCCCACCATTTGAGATGACATGCATTGTCGGCTTGACGCAACCAGCCTTTTCCGACAGGCGGCCTCCGAGTTGTCGACTAGAGGCCTCAGCTCAGCCAACACAGCTTTATACTTTCCATCATTGGCATGCTTGAAAGTCACTAATTGACGGTGATTGAACTGCAGTCCCAGGCCTTTCTCCGAGCCCATGGTTGCAGACGCGCAGCTAACGAATAACCCTTTGTCATTCTGGTTTATAATCAGTAACCAATCCTGTAGAGTGTATTGATTTTGGTAAACCGTACCTCGAGGTAGCCTTCGAGTCGTTTGTGGAGCTCTAATGAGGTCGTCTCGTCTAGCCCAGCCAAGAAAGACAGAAATGATCCATCCATCTTCCGTTCGAACATGTTGCCACCGGAAACGTCTGGAAACATCTCCCTCTCGTCGAACTGCAGTTGTTCAAAGACGTAGCGAAGCTCAATATTGGGCTCAGTACGCTGGGCCAGGTGTGCGACTTCATGGCGTAGTGTTTGGAGAGATTCACTCTCTGGTCGCATCATACTCCAGAATGCTCCACTGACTTTCAGGGCATGTCTTCTCATAATCTCTACCACGTCAAAGAAGAATGATGCCATTCCAGTGCCAACAAATGGGGTCCCGAAGAAAACGCAGCTCGTGACGCAGGGAAGGAGTTCTCCGAAGTCCTTCCGGAGTCTATCCATCTCGGTCAATGCCTGAAGAAGCCTGTTAGATAGGCCCATGGTTGACCGAGATTCCAAGGTAGAGATGGCATATACTTACTTTGGCAATTACTAGTCCCCCCATGCTGTGACCAATGAAGATAATTGGTCGACCCTTTTCGCCGGGTTCCTGAACTCAAAACACTTGGTTATCATGTCACTCATTTTCTTGGAATCGACGAGAAGGATGACCAACGGTTCGGTTAGCTTGAAGCGAAAGGAGCAGCCCACGGACGATGCTGTCGAAAAAGTTCTCAATCTGGTAGGTGCCTTGCCACGCTGAAGCGAAAGCGTAGCGCAGGATGCGAGCTCTCTTGAACGTGGCCGATAATCCTAACTTGCTCGTTACCCAATTGAATCCGCGTCTCGCCGTAGCTCCCATGATCGTCTTCCATGGTTTTTCCCCTGTCACCAACATTCCTCTTTTCTGGATTCCAAGCCCAGCAATTCAGGGTATCTGCGCCAAAGCCTGGAACGACGACGATACTGGGAGGATGTAAGATGAAGTGTCTTCAAATCTGGAGACAAATGGTTATTAAGGCGACTTACTCTATTTTCGGTTCCTGCACCGAATCGTCGACCACGTACATTCCTTGTTCGAGATCCCGCATCGGGGTTGGCTCCTTACGCGACATAATGACTTTGATTTGACCTTCTTAAGATTCGAAGCGTAGCGTGTGTTGGTAGACGAGTGCAAGATTACCTATAGGTATCGATGAAAAACAGCCTGGGGAACTTTCCGCCGAGGCAAAGAGGAATCAATGGTATCTATACGCGACTTGATTCCTGTGTCTTCAAAGGTGGCTTAGAGTGCCAAGTTCAAATCAGACGCGGAAGGATATCGTGCTGACATCTGGGCCTCGACATATCACGGCCGAAAAGTCAGCTGAGAAGTCGGCTGAGACCTGGTTCGCATTGGGACCTATTAGAATTAGAATCATGGGCGCTTACTTGCGCAGCCTGATCTGAACGAAGCCAACTTTTGAATTGTCTCGAACGTACAGAAGCCTCACAAGAGCCCCTTGCTTTAGCACTCGGGATACAAAGTAAAGCACCGTCTGTCCTTACATTAGCCACCAAAAAGCGGTCGTTTTCCTTGTCCACCGAGTGGTTTAGCAATTTGCTACCTGTGGAACTAACCTATGAAGTGTAGAGCTGTGGAATGGAAGTCGGTCCCTGGATCTACCTGATCGCCGACAATGGCAGAGCATGGCGGCGTCAAGGGCAGGCCGGAGTATGAGGTGCCCATGTGGGGCTGGTTCAGTCCATCACTGGTTCCAGGTATCAATTTGATACCATTGTAGTTATTGAGGCCACCTTGCAATGCCAATTTTAGCACATAAGGTACTTTAGGATACATATCAATGTCTCAAAGTGGACTCAAATGCAATCCGGGGAAGCTCTATACGATATGGCATCAACCATTCCTTACGCTCTACTGGTTTGGAACTGGGAAGATCTTCCAAGGATATCGTGGCACGCATGGCTTGAATGGAGAGAAAGTTCCGGCAATTTGTATAAGTTAATTTGGAGTGTCAATACCATTTGTTTCCTAGTTGGGTTGGGCTACTTTTGATCTCACGGCCACCAGACATATACGTCTGACCGGTCAGGTGGTGGCAGAGAGGGACAATGCAAAGCCGTGTACGCCCCGAAGAGTAGGACTGTTTGCTCGGAGCTTTGCCCCGCAAGGAACGCCCAAACCTGCATCTCTGCATCTTAGCTCAAGTGACAAGGAAATAAGCGATGCAAGACGAGGTAATTGTGTGTAAAAGTCCGTAGGTAACAACACCTTGTTGGTTGATCCATTGAGTTACTCAATATTTGCAGGAGTTTATCACAGTGGTCTTGAAATCCTCCGGCTCTCTTCCCAAAAGCTCACTCAACAACGGAGACGCAGCAGCCGCCTCACTCCTGCGAAACGCCTCAAATGACGAAGCCCATGGTTTCGAGTAGTCAATCCCATGGTAGGTAAAGTTGGGAATCACTTGCGCCTGAGAGGCGAACTGATCATCTGAAACCTGCTTGATCGCAACTGGAACCTTTGCGATCTCGCTGAGAATGCCGACCGTTTCCGACAAAGTCAGTGTCTTGATACCCGAAAAGAGTATTGTCTCATGACAGTAGGGAAAGCCGTCAGGGTCTGCGACGTAGCGCGATATGAGCTCAGCTGTAGCTTCTCCCAGCTCCTCTCTCTTGACCCATGCGATTCCGGGACCGCCACCATCGTGAGGAATCTTTATTTCGTTGACAGGTCGAGCCGGGTCAAAGAACGAAGTGTAGAGTGGGTAAGACTCGGTGTAAAGCCCCTCGCGGACAATCGTGTAGTCGAACCCAGGATGCTCTTTGCGGCAGTCACGAAGATATCTCTCGGTATCGAGGTGCGCCTTCATGACATGTGCCACTGACTTCCGGCTCTTTGCAGATCCAGCGAAGCCCAAAGACCCGTAAAAGATGTGCTTCACGCCACTTGCAATGGCGGTGTCGATGGCAAACTTGTGTCGCTTTGCGTGGTTTTGTTAGCTATCATACATACTTCCAACCACCAAGGGAGTTGAGCCTTACTCGAGATCTGTGTTCGTGTTCAACTGATGCATAGGAAATCAAGAACAGGGTCTTAATTCCGTGAAAGCTCTTTCGAATCGATGCATCGTCGTCGTAATCAGCTTGGCGCACGTCTGCTCCCAGCGCTTGCGCATCCGAAAGGTTTTTGGGATTTCTGGCGATGAGAACCAAATTCGTCGGGGAGAGACGTTGGAGAATGTGCTTTACAGTTCCTCCACCGATCCCTCCAGAGGCAGGGAAGATACCAACTTTGTGGGGGGATGTCATTTTGCTCTGGTAGACGAATAATGTAAGATGCTGTGATTATCTACACAAACCAAAACAACTTGGACCTAGTGGCACATAATGTTAAATACTTGTAGTCCGTCCGTCGAGACGCAGAGACGTCACAGTGGCCCTTTGTAGTCCGTGGAGAACCAGCTGACAGTGTAGTGGATATTTCTAGTGGATAACTCTCAAATTGTTCTTCTCGCTGAGTTTCAAGCTTAGAAATTGGGGTAGCTTAATAACCAGAATGGGCAGACGAAGTTCGTAAGGCGGAGTCCGTGGCGCAATTCAGTTCTGAAGCCATGGGAATTGACAAATCATGAGACGTGGTCTTTGCCTGTAAGTTCTCGTTTGAATCTACAAATGAGGGTGAGATATCGCTCCAGATTCGTTTTGCGTTCAATTCGCATTGCTCCCTCGTCACCGGTTGGGGAAATGCCGCCTCCGCCCCTCACGCCGGGAAAAGCGGGTCTCTCGGCCGTTCGCCTCCGGCCCCCTTGATCCGGCCTCGCGGGATGGAAGAAGGCTAAGATTGGAATGCTAGTTCAAACGAAAAGAACATTATTTCTATAAAGTGGCTTGTCAAGGTTTTTTGTCTTAGTTTTGTTGCCTGTATCTGCTACCTCGTGCATCCACTTTGGTTTCTGTCGGGTTTTAACAATCGTACTTGGAATGTTACCTCATCCTTTACTTAGGTATACTTAAGTAGGTCCTCATCCAGCGAGTGAGCAGGATCGTTATGAGCCTCTGCATCAGCTATTCCGAAATAAATAGCTGAAACTATCTAGTACGCATAAGCATTCTGTGCCGTGAGGCTGACCGTTGGCCTAGTGCTTCGCCGACACACAATACCAACTGTCCGGTACCGACGGCTGTCTCGCCACTCATCATTAGAGGAATGCAATAAGATGATCTCATTAGAGAACGCGCTTCCGATACTGGATATTTTGTTGCAAGTAAATGCCGGACCGAAGAAGGACAAAACCACATGTCGCCCCGGCCCGTAGACTTTTCTCATATCCACGAACACGACCGCTTCATTGCTTGAGTCGATTCCCATCGTCTCGTCATCTGGAAATTCAAGGTGCCCTGGTCTTGTCAAACTAGCAAAAATTGATCAAAAATTCGAGGCATTTTTGCTCCACTTCATTCTACTCATCCCGCAATCGCCCTTACAGAGGTAATGCTTGTACCTCGACATGTATTAAGTGATGGTTCTACCTCGACTTGTTTCGTGCATTCAGACTCGTCATCTTCGACTTCATCGACATCCTCAACATCCTCAACCATGCCTACTATTAGTATCATTTCGACTAGCTCTTCTACCTCCTCCACTTCAACTTCAACTGATTCTTCTACTACCTCAATCCTGACAACATCCTCGTCCACCTCGTCTTCATCTACCGACGCACTAACAACGACGAGCTCTTCGTCCTCTAGCACCGACACGGCTTCACCTAGCACAGAAAGGGTGACCTCCTCGACTTCGAGCACTTCAAGCTCCAGCGGAAGCACCACAGCTACGCCCTCCACACCCAGCTCGAGCTCCTCTACCGCAAACACCAGCAGCGCATCATCTGCCAGTAGCACCAGCTCATCAACCAGCAGCCTAGGAAGTTCATCAACGACCAGCTCCAGTATCTCTTCAACCAGCAGCTTGACAACCTCATCTTCGAGCACCACATCTCTGAGCAGCCTGGCCACAAGCCTCCTCAGCATCAGCAGCACTCTCAGTGATACCCTGAACAGCACCCTCAGCAGTAGTAGCAGCAGTACCTCCTCGCTTTCGCTCTCCTCGGCCAGTGTATCTTCAATCTCATCCTCTATTCTTCCCAGCAACTCCTCGACCATCCCAATCTCAACTTCCAGCTCCTTGACCAGCCCTGTCACCATTGTCACCTCATCGTCGTCCTCATCATCCATCATCGTGATCTCGCCTACGGAGCTTTCCATCACAACGGGCGGGACAATGTCTGACCCGTCCATCGGTCTAGCCTTCCCTGCTCCGTCCACCACTCCATCCCCTACTTCATCTCTCGCCCCTTCAACGTCAGCGAATTCCACGACTACTATCCCAGATCTCGTCGGGGTTCCCTTTAAGCTGGTAATTCTCGCAGCTGCCAACCCGACCAACCCGACCAACTCGGTCTAGACATGGGTGTATTTCTTGCAGTTCGTATAGGGCGCTCTTTCGGGCCGTTATCGTTTCTCATTACCCCCCGATCATGTTCTTCACAAAATCGTTTTTGATGGGCGATTGCCACACTTCATCAAGGAGAAGTTGGGATTACTCGGTCATGATTCAAGTAGTTGGGCGCTCCTTGTCACCTCACATTCTCTGGCCCTTTTCCCATCATGAAATACACAGAATATAAACACTCCGCGTTACCATTCCCATAACAAGCACCAAGTAAAACTTTTCCGGTTTTGATCAATGTACACCATCCATCTTGTTCGTTTATACACTACTATACTTCTCGAGCTGCGCGACACTCGACAGCCTCCTCCTAAATCAATGGCCTAGCTTCCTCCACGGCCATCGGCGGCAGCATACCAAGCTTTTGGAACTCGATGTACGTCGCAAAAATACCCTCCGCCGTATCAACGAACCCGTTCCAGCCCATGACGCGGGCCTTGTTCGGGCTCAGGCGGCCGTAGCCATCGGGCAGCACAGCAACGTCCGTGAACATGAACTGGCCCTCGGGGTCCTGGAAGGGGTCGAGCAGCAGGTTGTACTTCTCCATAATCTCCTTCCAGGCTTCGTGGTTCTCGGGCTCCTTGGCCCAGGCGACGAAGGACCACGAGAACTTGAAGCCTCCACGGGGGCCGAACCTAGAATCGACATTAATCAGCAAACTTACTCAAGTTTCCTTCTCCGAGATCCAACAACACGTACCCAATAGGCGGCTCGCCAGGCATAGAAATCGTCTGCATCTTTGACTCATCCACCTCTGGCCTCCCAACATTCGAGATACCAAACCATTTCGCGAGCTCAGGCCAGAACAACGCAAAGCTGAAAGATCCCTGGTCACTCGAGTTGAACGCCTGATTCCCACAATGCTCATTCAAAACAGCCCACTCGGACAGATACCCGGTAAGGTGAGCATGCGACTGCGTGTGGTCCTTGAGCCAAGCCGCCATCGTGCCGGGGAACTCGAGCGGTTTGCCTAGATGAGCCTGCACGGCGGCGTAGACACCGAGTCCGTAAAACGCATTCATCTGCGCGTTCTCCACGGCGCCGACGATCCAGGAGGGGCGGAAGACGTTCCATTTTGCGCCCGTCCTGGCGCAGTGGTCAAAGAGAGCGTCTTCCTGCGGGTAGTAAAAGTTTGGCTCGCTGGTGACGCGCTGCGCTGATTCCACGAAGGGCGAGATGGCCTGTCCGATGTGGCCGCCGTAATTCTTGGCACCGGTCTGCAGGACAATGCGCTTGGGGCGGATGGAGGACTTTTCTAGCCCGCCTAGGAAGTTTCGGAGCAAGGCGGCTGGTCAAGAGTGTCAAGAACCGTGATCTCATTTTTCGGAGAAAAGAGGCTCGTGTGAACTTACAGTTGACTTTGACGAGAGCTTCGGCGTTGGACCAAGCCGCGGCCCCGGGCTCGGGCTTTGGCTGGAGGTAGGAGTAGAAAAAGACGTAGTCCGCCGTGACTTGACGCTCCTTTAGACCTTGCGCGATGACGTCCGCGTCCGCCAGGAAATCCAGCGAGATGTGTTCGATGCGCGTCTGCTGCTCAACAGAGAAGAAGCTCATCATCTTCTCTGAGAGGGGGCTTCTCGACACTATCCAGACCTTCTTCCATCGCTGCGGTGCGTCGAGGAGGACCCTCAGGGTGTGGAATCCGCTGATGCCATTGGCGCCGGTGATGAGGGCCGTCAGGTCTGTGATATCGGATGGGAAAGTTGGCAAGTTGCGGAAGATGCCTTTGTTCTGAAGAGGGAGGGCCTGAGACATTGCGGTCGATGTAAGAGTGGTTTGCGTGGTTGAAGTTCTTCAAGTGTCACTTAACCTACTGATTATTGGAAATCCATTGCCGATTGGATACACTCAATCTTTACTTACACATAACATTGGACGGTACCCTGCCGAGGCTCCCGAATTGGAGTAGTTCCATCTCAGGAGGCGATTGTTTGCCAATTGGTCGTGTTCGTTTCACCATCCCACCGGCTGCAAGTGGGTTAAAGTGTCGTTTCGACGCATACCTACGCACCAGTGATTTTCTCGTCAGTTTACAGGACACGACGGGAATTGTTTTCCGCAGCGTCGACAGCTTGGAAGGGGCTTGAAGCTATTGTAAGCAACTATTCAGAGTTGCGTCAGAGTCCTGGACCAACAGCCGTCCGCTTTCCACATCCAGCAGCTCTCCCAACGTTGGCCATTACATACCTTGGTATCCTTAGAACGGCGTATGCGCTAGACAAGCTTTCTACAAATCGGCGGGGTCTTCGGTCTAACCATCCACCCGCGTGGTCCAGTCTACGATGCTTAGCGAGAATGCGAGATGCCGTCCGGCCGAATACATCAAGCAGCGTCCTATTGTACGGCCGAGTTTCGTACTGGATTTCAAACCTCGGTTCAGACCGAGGCAAGTGGGTATCTGGTTCACAGTCCACGGCCCGCCACATTGAATACCAACTTAACTAAGGGCTAAGGATCGGAAAGGATGGTAGGTAAGCCGGGACTGCAAGAAGGCGTCGAAGCAACGCCTCTCCCGCCACGGACCCCGCAACCGGCACCGGCAGACGGGTAGTGTCAAGGATCTATTGATCCAACGGGACTTACCCACCTCCGGCGGGATGAAGTTTGTTGTGGGGACTTAAAGCCGCCGACTGTCCCGGAGAGAGCCCATGATGAGCCAACATCGTGTGTCCATTTCAGCAACTGTCTTTTTTGAAACGGCACCTCAAGGCCCTCCTTATTCGCTTCATAAAGAATGAAGCTCTACTTCCAGACGGTCGATGTTGTGCGTTCGGAAGACTGGAAGCTGAATCCTGCAGAGCGCGGTACTCGCCGTGTACAAAGTGACGCTCGTCCAAAGTCAAAGTCAGGCTGTGACGGCTCCTCGCCAACATTGTCAAAAGTAATTTCTCTTCTATAGGCCACGCTTAGTATCTGTCTCTCGTTTACTCTCGACACCAAAGTTGGCGTCTGTTTTATATACACAAGCTCTCGTACTCTTCCACCTACACCGTATCAAACCTGGTCAACGACATGAGTTTTAACACCACCGGAATTTTCTAGGGCCGTGAGATAGCAGACAACCAAGCCTGGGACCGCGAGGTGCTCGTTCAGGTATCCTCGATACAACAGCAAAACTTCCACGCGGTGAAGCTGCTACCACGGAACCGCGCTCCATCAGAGTGGCTCATCTCCGTAAGGTCTGGCGGCAAAGACGGTGAGGACGAGGAGACCATCATCGTGGACGACTCGATGCAGAACAAGTTCAACATCAGGTGTAATGCGCTGGTGTACGACCACGAGCACGAGGATTTGATCTCCATGTTGAACGCGTCACCGACGACGGTTGCCTGTATGGTCAGGAGCGCATAGATAAGGAGGACCTAATACATATACCTAGATGAGATGAGAAGACGTAGAAGGAAGAGATCAAGACTGTGAGATGGATTCCGTAACCATGTGTTCGATTTGATTGTGAGATGTACTACGAGTGATTGTCCGTTTTTTTTTCCCGTTCTACCTGTGGCACTCACGTGTTCAACGACCATCGATGCCGGACCACAGCTTCGATCGGGTTCCTCGAATCGAACCCCGTGACCGGCCTCGACGTGACATGTTACACGTCAGAATTCGGTGCTAGCAATCACCGGTTCAAACAACACCATACTCGACCTTATGATTGGATACCGTTATGGTGATAGAGTACAACCGCAACCTTGAAGAAGGAGATAGATCCGTCAAGATCTAGGGACTAGCAACTGCCAGATACGGAACGGATGTGACGAAGCACCATGATCCGGAAATAAGTAGCGATGATGGGATCTCACGGCACATAAGTAAAGCCCCCTCTGAGTATTCTCATGACTTTTCACATCATCAAGCACTCACCACACCACACTCCTGATCCCCTAAACATCAAAAGCAACCAAAAATGATCTCCGCGCCCTTGCACCACATAACCATCCTCACAGCACTAGCCGCACCAGTCCTCTCAACCCTCGTCCCCCCAGGCTCCCAACAAGGAACCTACATCGTGACCCTCACCCCAGAAGGTCGAGAACTCCACACCCGAATCCCCGACATCGACATACCACCACTACCACACATCCCTCGCCGCGATACAACAACCTGGCCCCCTGACACCACCAAAGCAATCTGCTCCGACAGCCCCTGGATCACCACGGCCGACTTCGCCCCCCACCCCAACGGCGCGCGCAACGCCTTCGCGGCGCACTGCGCCGCGCTCAACGGCAAACGCCTCGGCTACCGCGAAAATTTTTACAGCCATTGGGGCGACGCGGTGGCGTACATGTGTTCGTATGCCGGGAGCGGGGACGTAGGGAACGGGAAGAATGGCGGTAACCCGTGTGTTGTGCAGGAGTGGGTTGATGCTGTTGAGTGGGCTGCGAAGGATTGTGGGGGGAGGAATGGGGATGGGTTTATGGAGTGTGGTGAGTTCTTCTTCTTCTCCTTCTTTTTCCTCCTTCTTCTCTCCCGATCTTTGATATAGAAGTTCTGTGTACGGATGTAAGTGTAGAGTGTAAGTGTGTGAAGGTGCTGACGTTGGCAATGGTACAGCCTATCTCTCGATTCCTGGATGGAAAAAGGTGAGATGAACCTTGAGTTTGACGTTTGACGGGATGGTCGGCTGACTTATATTCCAGGCGTACGGATACACGCACATCAACACCCCCTTCTGCTGAGGGTCTTTGTGAGAAAAGTGACTGCATCACAAACCTGAGGATTTGGGGATGCCATGGTCTGCGAGAAGTACACTGAGATGGCACTTTTATCATTTGAATCAATAATGCAAAAGAGAAGACATAAAGCTGGACAATAAAGCTGTGTTCGGATTGACGCACCGGTGGGATGTCAGCGAGGAGAGTCAAGTACATCGCTGCAACATGCATCATTTGGACATGGACAGATTAAGCGTTTCCTTGGAAAGATTCTGACCAAAGCTTTGTTCCTCTCATTTCGATCCAACTCGCACTCTATCTCCAAGTAGCGAGCTACGAAACTTGTTTTTCACTTGCTTTTCCCAATTTTACGTTTTTTGGATTCTCATTTGGATCCCTCAGATCCTACTGTGTAACCAACCCACCCAAGTGCACTCACCCCCTTATGCCTTGAGAATCTTGGCCAGCTCAGCAACGATAGCATCACCAGTCTCCTTGGTGCCAGCGTTACCGCCGAGGTCCTTTGTCCGCACACCGCCGTCAATGACGGCCTTGACGGCATCCTCGACGGCCTGGGCCTCCTTGGGCAGGTTGAGAGAGTAGCGCAGCATCATGGCGACGGAGAGGATCGTGCCGATGGGGTTGACGACGCCCTTGCCAGAGATATCGGGGGCGGAGCCTACATCACAAATATTAGCACAAAGCATTCCCCTCGAAGATCAAGGGTTGGGGTCGGGGGACCACATACCGTGAATAGGCTCGTAGATGCCGTTGCACTTCCCCTTACCATCCGGAATACCGCTCAAACTAGCACTGGGCAAAAGTCCAATGCTACCGGGGATAACGCTCGCCTCGTCAGAGATAATGTCGCCAAACAGGTTACTCGTGACAACGACACCGTTCAGCGCCCGCGGGCTCTTGACGAGCAACATGGCGGCCGAGTCGATGAGCTGGTGCTCAATCTTCAACTGCGGGAACTCCTTCTCAAACAGCTCCGTAATGACCTTGCGCCACAGCCGGCTCGTGGCCAACACGTTCGCCTTATCCAGACTCCACACCGTCTTCTCCCCGCGCGCAATCGCCAGGAATCCGGCCAGTCTTCCGATGCGCTCTACCTCCTCGCGGCTGTACGGCTCCGAGTCCCACGCCTTGCCGTCGCCGGTATCCTCCTTGCCTGGTATTCGTCAGCTGAGATTCAAGTTGAGAATTCATCTGGTAACTAACGCTCGCCAAAGTAGATGCCACCGGTCAACTCGCGGACGATCACCATGTCGGTGCCGCGGCAGACCTCAGCCTTGAGCGGGGAGAAGTCGACGAGCGCCTCGGAGGCGAAGCTGCAGGGCCGGAGGTTGCCGTAGGTGCCCATCTCCTTGCGGAGGCGGAGGAGACCTTGCTCCGGGCGGACGGCGCCGGTGCCCCATTTCGGACCGCCGATGGCGCCGAGGAGGACTGCGTCGGCGGCCGAGGCGGCAGCGAGGGCCTCGTCGGTCAGGGGGGAACCGGTTGCGTCGATGGAGGCCTGTGGGTGCCCAAGGGAAGGGCTTGTGTCAGTTTGAGGTTCTTTGGAAGCTGGGGCGAGTGGGATCCGGGAACGGGGTCGTAGGGGACTTACACCACCGAGAAGGTGCTCCTGGAGGTTGAACTTGCCAGCCGAGGGGCTGCTGGTCTCAATTGTCTTGAGAACCTGTATAAACAAACACACGCATATTGATCAGTCTCGTGTGGTTTGTAGGAAGCAAATCGAGCATGATCCGGGTCGACGCAATTCATGTTGGCCGGCAGCATACCTTGATAGCCTCGGCGACAACCTAGAAACAAAGTAAAATACGTTAGCCGTCAATTCTGTCAATCCCGTTTCTATCTCAGCTCTACAATCTGCCAAGAGCCAGAAAGCTTGTTGCACCCTCGCCAGTCATCCGGAAGCTCACCTCAGGACCGCAGTGGTCACCGCCAAACACCACAATGTTGTGAGTCGCCATTTTTGTCTATGACTGATGGATATTTGATGGGAAAGAGGCAGGAAGAGTCTTGAAGCTGCGTCGAAGGAAGAAGACAAGGGGGGTATCTGTTGCAATTGGAGAGAAGAGGAGGAGATGAAGAGGAGAGAAAGTAAATACAAAGTTAATTCCACTCCCAGGTGACAGCAAGAGAGCTCCTATTTGCCCCGCATCCCGCACACAGATTGGAAAAAAGTCGTGGTGCTGGCAATGGCAGTGGCACGGCCTCAACCCCGCCTTCCGACGTCGGAGCTGTTGACCTTCCCTAGTAGTCCGTAGTCCCTAAGGTAGAGTTCGTAACTGTGGTGGGATGAGCTGACATTACAGCACTGGTGGCCCACCCAAGGTGAGTACCCCACAAACGCTTCCGGGGGGCGTTTGGTTCGTTCGCTCGGCTTCTATCGGTGCCGCTTCGTCCCGGTTTCCACAAATCTGCCCCCTTCCGGTTGCTGCGTCCGACGACGATCCGCACATCGGGTGGACTCAGGCCGAGTGATTCATCATGGGGATATCGGGATGACCTCTATCAGATCTGCCGTTCCTGCAGCCGTGGCACGGCCTAGTAGCTTATATAGGTCTAGAGTCTGGACCTTTCACCGGGAAATCCGAAAATCGGCAGATCCACCGTCACTTCACTTCACTCCCATCGGTCATTTTCGACATGTTCGTTGTCGCCTCACGATAGCTTCAATACCCTCTTTTATCAGCATCCTCTCGTTTGTTATTCATAATTAAGCCGCAAGGTATGTACTCTGGAATTATATATACTCATCAATATCCAAGATGACTTGATGACGGATCGCCCCGTTTCTCTTTCTAAACCTTTTCTTTTCCTCGCGTACCGTCATTGACTTTTTGGGGCCGGTCATTATCGTTGTGCTTCAATGCACTCACGTATTACCTGAATGATTTGCGGGCTAGCGGGCTCGCCCCCGGTGGTCCCAGCGCTGGGCCATTTCCCCGGAGCCGACCGCCTCGCATGTTGGGTGTGTTTGAACAGAAAGCACATATGTACACAGATGGAAGTGTCCGCTTGGATATGTTGATGCACGATCCATGGAGCCACATTTCGCAGGACTCACTGATGACATGTTAGCATTGGTAAAGCACAAAGGTGCTAGCCGGCCATCTTGAAGAGGCAGAATGGGAGGAGTAGTATCATACCATTGGACCATGTAATCTCCTTGCCTATCCGCGCCGTTCCTGCAGACGCATCGAACGTTGTACGTCGCTTTCGTCGGCGAGGGTAGGCTGGCTTCAGTGAAACCCGTGGGCGACATCATCCCCCCAAGGTGATCCTGGAAACTGCCCGACACAAATCGCTGTGATCGTTGACTGCCAGGTGCCTGGGTACCGCGCTTTTGTCGACTCTCAACGAGCTTGCGCAGCTCGCTTGCTGCGTCACCCCCTTTGCCCTGTGCCCCGTTCATCACGGTTTCCGCTTCGCTCTCAGCCTCGTGCTGCGAAACTGACGCTCCCAAGCTGCTCGAGCTGTGTTCACTGACGCTCCTTCGAGACGAATGGAACATGGAAGCTGACGACGGCCGACGGGGATCTGGTAATGCGAATGAGGTATTTCGGCTGGGGATGATGATTGGCTCGTCATCTGTCGAAGAGTCGTCATCCTCGGACTCCCAACTTTTCTCCCTGCGCGGCATTTCCCGTGTCACTGGTAGTCTCCGTGCCTCCTCGAGTCGCGGCTCATCCATCACCATGGTGGTCTCGGCCCGCGCCCTGCCTCTCGAGTCGATAGTAAACTTCACAGCCGTGCGAGGCCGCGGAGGTGCCGACTCCGGTATCGACGTCAAGCTGGAGAGGCGAGAGTGCTGCTGTTTCAGGGGCGATACTCTACCAGACGGGCGGCTTGGTGGCCTGCTTGGGCCGGCTACGGGACCATTGGCCACCTGAGGCCTCGGCTGTATGGCTGGAGCGAGTTTTGGCAATGATGGCTTTGCCAGTCCGCGTCTTCCACGATTTTCACTGGCACTTCGTTGCAGTCCGTTGAGCCGCCCATTCGATTTGGCCGGAGAATTCAATGCCCTTCCTTGACCCAGCTCCTTGGTACTGAGGGAGCGGCGGATATCGCCGTGCATAGGCGCTCTCGATTGTGATTCTGCTGCCGCTGCAAGGGCGAACTGTGCTGAACCTTGTGTGACGGGGATGTGTGCACCCATGTTTGATGACAATGGTCGACCGAACAAGACACCGGGATCGACTCCGCCGGGACTCATAATACCAAACGGATCCTCCATTGATGTTGAGAACGAATTTGAGACCATGGAGATATCTGCCGAGCTGGATTGAACATTATTCATGACAGGTTTGGGGGCCAGGGGTCGAGTCCGCTTGATGGGTTGGGCAGTATCTTGACTACCTGACGGCGGCAGGGCGGCAGACTCTTGAAACATTTGGGAGGCGTCAAAGGAAGGCATGTGGCGATGTCCCGAGGTTTGAAAGACATTGGGACCAAAGGAGAAGTCGATTTCCATGCCTGACATGTCGGCACTCGGATCCCAAAAGCTTGCGCCAGCGTTTGCCGGAGCCGACATGGGATATCCGAACATGTCGGTGGCAGTTACAAAGGCCGCCATATTGGGATGTTGTGGGTTTCCAGAAAAGTCTGGCTGGCCGTAGCCATGATCATTCTGCATGTTGTCGCCCTGTAGCTTAGGAGCAAGCTTCCGGCCACCCTTGTGGGAAGATGGGGGAGGAGTTGCCGTTTGCCCGTCCAGATCCGCCACGCTCTCCCTGCCTTGTGAACTTTTTACTATGTTGTTTTGTGACGCCACCTTTGGACTGGCCGAACTGCCTTCCCGACTGGAAAAGTCTGCTCGCTCGATCGGGGGCTTGGGAGAAGAGGGCAGTCGTCGAGCTGCGGCAACCGGGGGTAGAGGTAGGTTCGTATTGGGAGAGAAGTGGTTGGCATGTGTTGCTATCTGAGCGGCGAGGCTCTCGGCGGACAGAGGCCTCTTGAGGCTTGCCGAAGCAGGGTATGTAGTAGCACCTGTGGCAAAGTCGGGGAATGTACCCTGAGAGCCTCGAAGGTTGCCTGGGGTTGTGTTGAAGACGGAGTATTCTTCTGCAAAGCAAGGCGTCCAACCGCCAGCGTCGTCAAAGTGACCCTGGGACTGCTTGGGAGTTTCGAAAACGGGGCTCGGGAAAACGGCGGAAGTGGGAGTCTGTTTAGGGGTGGGCGGCTGAGCGTTTGGGTTTCCAAAGCTGTAGTCAGAGTTTCTCGTTAGCAAAACGGTGTTTTGATAGATTGTCCGGCCTGTGAATCTTGCGACCTGGTCGGGAGGCAGAAACAGAAAGACGAACGTGAATGGGGCGGGTTTGGTAGAATTCTTGCCTGGACGCCAGCTGATCCCCACTCATAGCAATTCTACTGTAGTTCACACAACCCTAACTTGAACATGACAAGAACCACCCTAACCAACGGAATTGTGCAAGTTTGAGGATATCGAGGGGTTCAGAGGACAGCCAAAGGAAGACCAGGGGCGCAATCGGCGGCTTGGGGGTCGGTGGAAGCGAGGAGTGAGTGCTGTCGATTGGTCGGTTCGTGAATGTTAGGTAGATAGATATCAGGCGGGGGCGACGTCAGATGCGTATATCATTGATCATTACAGAAGGTCCAAGACGGCAATTTCATGGGAGAAAATAGTACACCGAATGACGAAGAGCTGGCGTGAGCAAAAGGAGCGTATCCGTAAGGTGTCCGAGGAACTCAAGCCGGGGGGGAGGTTGGGAGTCGAGGGGAAGTTTGGTAAAAGGGAGGTCCGTGAGGTGCGGCGCAGAAAGCAAGTATCGGTGCTCTGTACGGCGGCGGAAGCGTGATTACAGAAGCAGATGAAATATCTAGTCGACAGAGTCGTAACACGGCAGATGCTAAGCCTGGTCTGCAGCGAAGGGCGCTTCCTAGTTCCAGGAGAACACAGGATCGAGAAGAGGCAGCACGAGAAGGGGGAGGGGAGATGGTGAAGAAGTGCTAAGGAGCGTCCAGGAACCAATCGTTCACTTTGTGGGAGGGAGAGGATAGAGCGAGAAGACCAACACCTGGGAAACAAAATGGTACCTAGCAGCAGCCGCAGCCGATGCAGTAATCAATGGTAAGTTACTGCAGCAGCAGGTGAGGGAAAGGTAACCTCAGGACGGCCGCACAATCGTGCCTCAAAAGGTACGTAGATATTGGCAGATGGCAGATGGATTGGCAAGCCGCAAGCTAAGCACCGCAACTAAGGTAAGGCAGGCAGAGACGGTCTGTTCTCGTTGGAGACTTCTTGGGAGTTGGCTAATTTTTTTTCGTAGGGATGCAGAGACAGAGAGAGGGAAAACCTGGGAAGGGAAACTCAGGTACCTCGAGTTAAGGTCGTTGATGGGTACGTATCCGAACAGTCAGCATATCTCATTGGGCAAGGCCAGAAAAGATAGCGGGATGGGAGCACTGTCCCGTAGAGCACAGCGCACTTGGTGAGACTGCGCTGCTCGCCTACAATTTACCATTAAAACTCAGATGCAAAAGACACAGGCGCTTCCGCCGACTGACTGCCTGTATTGCTGGGAGCTTCCCGGTGGAGGGACTGTCGAATGCTCTGCTGTGTAATTAGGTTATAGGGCCAATCAATTAAACGAAACAATCTCTGACTACAACGTGCCTTACCCTAGATATCCCGTTTCTTTCTTTCCTGCTTCTCTTCCACAAAGACAAAGCCCAAGGGAAAGCCACACGTGTCGAATCCAGTGTCTGTCCAGATAGCCATGACGCCCCCTATAACGGCGTTGGCTTCAAAGTTAGAACCAGGCGCATGCATGGGGGGGGGGGGGGACTCGGCCAACGCCATGAAAGATGGGCCAACGTGGCTCAACAGGGAGGCCGGAAGGGTGTTATGGGCCACATAGGTATGCTGACAGCTGTATACTTAGGTGATAGCTAAGTACAGATAGTCGTGACCAAGCTCTGATCGCCGGCCCAGCTCGAGCGCAACCTGTACCAACTGAAACAACCTGTGGTGGCAACTGCAAAGGGGCTCTTGACCCTTTCTCTCCATCTTCCTCGGTCTGTCAGATGTGTCGTCGAGATGCTGTCCTTCTTCGACAGACGCCAGCGCCTATCTAGGGTTTCAACGTGGACAAACACGGGCTGATGGCGGCACACAAGCTTCCACTGGCGTCGTCGTCCAGGGGAGCCAAGCCAGAGGATACGGCGAACCAACGACCTTCGAGGGCCCGTCTAAAGGGAATGGCGCAATCAG